TGCCATTAGCATGCCTTTGACTAGTTTATAACCAAGCCAAAACATCTAAAACTATACTAAAATATGATGTATCAACCTATGCCTTGGTAAACGTCAGGATATTTCAGAACAGAGAAAACGTCGAGAGAGTGCATGCAGAATAGAGACACTTCTACACATCAACGCCAACTTCCACCAGCAAAATATTAAATCTCAATGCCTCATTAGCCAATAAACGAAGAAAAGGGTAAAAAGTTGTAAAAGTCTAAAACCATCAAACAAGCAAGGAGAAACCAAGGGAGTGAATTTACACAAGCAGTGCTTCTCACGCTAGATAAACCAAAGCAATACTCTGACTTATCATTGTGAAATGTGGGTAAGCGCTCTCTTCAATCCATTTCCTTTTGCTAAGATGAATCACCTGATCCACACAGACAACAAAAGCATTTTTCATCAAACTTATTTCAAAAATCCACCTTAACATAACTAAGAATTATCAGAGAGAAAAGAGGGAACAGACATTGGGAGACTTCGATTTTGGAACTACTCTACGGATTAGAAAAAAAAAAGATAAAGAGTAAAAAGAGAGGAGTTTGTTCAGTTCAAGCACGAGAACGGATACGAGGTCTTCCATTGCGCTTGACTCCTTAGCTATCCTCTTGAATCAAAGACTATCGTGGCTCAATGCCAACAACGCTGCCACAAAATCAAAGGTAATCTAGAACTAATAAGCAGTCAAGCCCCTCAAATATAAACACTGAAATCACTTATACAAAATGGGATATCGATGTCAAGATTGTCCTGAGGGAAATAATCTGTCCAAACGAATAATGATTATAAAGATAAAAAAATGTTTAAAAGGACGAAGATGTCTAAGAAGTAAGAAGAAAGCAAACAATCGTGGAACAAAATCATAAAAAGCATCCACTATCTTTTTCATAGTAATTACCTACTCCGATAAAATTAGGCCTACATAAGTTTCAGTGGACTGCTGCACATATAGGATTAACCCTTTCTCAGAAGAAAAAAATACAAAAAAAAAGCCAATGAATTGGTCATATGTACGACATAAAAGCTTTGGTGTGAAAACTATATTACTGATCAGCATAACTCAGACCAAAATGTTAATTTAAGAGTGAAGGATTACTACATCTATATATATTGTCTAAGGACATTTATCCCAATGTGGGATACTAATAGCCATTCTCGAAATGTGGGTGGAAAACAGTTCATAGGAAAACAGTTCAATCCCAACAGCTCAGAAATACATAGCAATATACCATTTTTACAGGTTATATCGAAACTATTTACGTGGGAAATCTTATACTTGAGCAAACCATGAACCTTGATACCATATTAGTGATGATCTTAACTCACACCAAAAGTTAGGTCAAGAGTGAAGAATTACTTCATCACATATGTATTGCCCAAAAATATTAATCTCAACCAATATTAATAAACTAATTAGAAATTTTAAAATTGAAAGGGAAAGAACCCATTTTGATCTGATGTAATATGATCAGTCTACTTCGTTTCAGAAAATACGTACGATAATATAATTTAGTGCTTGGTTTTACATCAATGCGATGGAAATTAATAAATATATGCTGCATAGTCAGGAAATGGACCTTCTTTTTCCGTATGCACGATCAAAACTACTGTGAAGGATTGTGTCCTTAATTAAAGTATTGGTTTACTAAAGAAAATTAGAAGATGGTTTATGCCGGCAGAGGTGTATACGGTATACCAAGTCAACACGTAGTATAAGTCGTTAGTGACTCATCTTCTTTTGAGTTACGATCTGGGTGATTTAAGTTGTACCAGATTGTGAGAGAGAGAGAGAACCATTGTAGAGAGATTAAGAGCTCGAGTTTGAGCTGTTCTAGTGGATTTCTGGCTGTGCCCATCCCCGGTGAATATAGCTCCTTCTCCGATTTGGAAGAGGGAGGCGAACACCGGGCAAATAAGATGTTTTTTCTTTATTGTTTATCTTTCATCTTGCTCACATACAAATACGATTCAAACAACAAAGTAGTTAAGCGATTGAGTCTAAGGAGTGGATTGAGCTTAGGATTTTCACAACTACTATAACCGTCTTAACGCACTAGTGGAACGAGATATGCCATGTTTTACACAGCTATACATATATGATACTGCACATGAATATCAAAACCGTCTTAACGCACTAGCAAAACAAAAGTATTATAAGAGGATTATTAAAATGTATGACATGTACAAATGAGTTGGTGAAAATGTTTCAGAATAGCTATAGATTGATTGATTAGAGTCAAGAGCAAGTGAAGAATATTCATCAGGGATATTCAGAAATAGAGAACGTGAAAGATAATTTGACTTTCCACAAGGATACAAAGTTGCTATTTTTTTATTTTTTTTGAAACACTAAAAAATAGAGTTGCTGGATTTATTGTGGGTAACATGTCTATCGCATATTCTAGTAGAGATATAAGAATGTATCCTAGAATGGATACATCTCATTGGATAAGTTTATTAAATCTATTGTCCATATATGTCATTTTAATATTCTTTGATGTTTTCATAAACTATATACTATGTTGGGTGAATTTTTTGTTTTGTTTAATCAGTCTCAATCAATTAAAAAAACTGTGCAAACAAACGCAAAGAACTAAAAGAACAGAAGAAAGAAAAATCAAGCCTTAGCCACAATTGGGCTCAATTAGTATAATAATTCTATAATATATGAGTTTTTTTAATTAACCAATAGGCTGGACTGGTATTTTTGATTGTTAGAATATGAAAAAAAAAAGATGATTTAATATTATACAAATAAATTATACAACAGATTTTTCAAATTCTTTTCTCTAGTGTTGTCTTTTCCTTATAACTTGTTTTCACTAAAAACCAATACTCAAAACACAAACCTAATCTAATTCAAAAAAGTTTAATACTTCGTTACAAATCTGTAGTTCAAAAAGTATAAGCAAATTAGTTAATTAACCTGGATAATTAAGATTCCTGGTATCGATCATTAATTAGTAATAACTTTAAGGAATAAAATATAAATTAATTAGTAATAACTTTAAGGAATAAAATATAAACGTTATTTAAAGAAAGGGAATATGCTAGCTCTTTTCAAAGGGCATATGCTTAACTAAAAAGGAATATTAATCAACTTATACCTTTTGAAAATGAAATATAGACGTGTTATTCATTTTTAGTTAAAAAGTTGAATAACTGAAATTATGAAATGTTACAATCTGTTTGGAATAAATTAAATCAGAAAAGATCCTACAGCGTACGGATCAGGACAACATTCTACTGACGATAAAAAAATTCCTAAGCTGACTATGCAGGAGAAACTCTACACAATAAAAATGGAAATCTTCGAGATAATTGAAAATCTTATAATATCTAAGTAATGTTTGATCCGCACGTCCTTGTAGATATTGATTTTATGTTTTTTATAAATTGATATGTATTTAGTTTTCATAAGTAGTGTTATATATTTTAATGTGTTACTATATAATTGTGTTCAAAAGATCCAAACATAAACGAATAATATAGTTATTTTTAATATGAATATTTGAACCCATTGGTTATTAGAAAATTTTCAGTATACCACAAGTTGGTACCTTTTTAAAATTTATTATTAATGAATGACTACTTTTGTAAATATCCTAAATTTGTGATAAAATAACACTAGACTATTTTAAAAATATTTATAGAACATTTATAGACACAACACCAATTTCTTAATACTAAACCTTAAACAATAATCATTAAAGCTTAAATCCAAATGTTAGTATATTTTTTGATTTATGGTCTTTTTGAAATCTGATACTTAATTTGTGATATTTCTAACAAGTTATTTAAATTATTTGGATATTTTTTAGATTTATATACATCATAACCGAATTCATGCGAATTTGGGAGGACCCTACTCAAAACACACCCAAAATTTTATAAAATTTGAGCAAGCCTAATTTCAAAACTAAGAATTTGTAAATAACAGAAATACGAAAAGGAAATACTTAATTTATTGCAAATACAAGGACTAAATATGTAAATAAAAGAAAATATTTAATTTACTATCTAAATTTTTAAATAATTTTTAATTATTTTGTTATCCATGTTTCCAAACAGTATCAAAAGATAGTTAAGTTTTAATAATATTGATTTAAAACATAATTGGTGATTATATGGTTGTAGATAGAAAATAAAGATAAAACCACTACTTACGGCCTAACCAACTACCCCTTATATTTTCTATTTTAAGATTATCTAAACATTAAATATTAGATTTACATTTTATATTTCGATGAATTTAAACTTAAACTTTGATAAACACACAAAACCTCAAATTTAAAATCTAAATTTAAATGAAATTATTGATATGTTATGCGTGTCATGATCATGGTTAAAAGTATATAAACGGCATGTGTTACACCGATATAGTGGTTTTATATTATTATACTAGTTATGCCGAAACCTTAGTTACGCTGCTAACAAAGATATATTAAATTAGTCTAAACACCAATGTTTTTATTTTTTTGCACAAAAACGCCAATGGTTTTCTTGCAAATTATATAATAGAAGCAGGCGATCACGTCTCGCTCTCGCTCTCTCTCTCTCTCTCTCTCTCTCTCTAACTTGTGCTTCTCCTTCTTAACTTCTGTATAAACTTCCCACCATTTTGTTCATTTTGTTCCTTTTGTCACCATATATATTGTCATTTGTTCATTTTGTCCCCTCATATTGTCCATACTGTTTATTTTGTCACCTTATATCCTCTCCCATGATTCCCTCTAATTCTCCCTCAAGGCTGTTTCAGGTGAATATTACTTAACTTTATTTTGACAAGAAAAATTACTAAATTTCATCGGATTTATTTTATACAAATGAGAACGTCGCATAATCATTCTCAAAACTTGCAAACGAATTAATTGTGAACCTTTTTTCGTACATATAAACGTGGGTTATACACAACAGAGCTCATGAACTGAAATCTTGATTTCTTTACCTTTCTTGCTCAGCCTCAAGGAATGCCTGAAAAACAACTAGGAGTGCTTAAGGCACTTGATGTTGCGAAGACGCAACTTTACCATTTCACGGCGATTCTCATTGCTGGTATGGGTTTCTTTACCGATGCCTACGATCTCTTCTGCGTCTCTCTGGTTACCAAACTCCTTGGCCGCATCTACTACTTCAATCCATTGTCAGACAAGCCTGGCTCACTTCCCCCTCATGTTGCGGGAGCGGTCAATGGTGCGGCTCTTTGTGGAACCCTTGCTGGTCAGCTCTTCTTCGGATGGCTCGGTGACAAGCTTGGAAGGAAAACAGTTTATGGTATCACTTTGATCATGATGACTTTGTGCTCCATCGGTTCGGGTCTCTCCTTCGGTAACAAAGCCACGGGTGTCATGACCACCCTATGCTTCTTCAGGTAAAATTATAATTAATATATGTATGATTACTAATAATATCTTTGATATGCATCTTTTTGTGATTAGTCAAATTTAAACCTGAAATCTCATATATGATGCTGTATATACACTAACATACAAATAATACATGTTTAGGTTTTGGCTAGGATTTGGTATTGGAGGTGACTACCCTCTTTCTGCGACCATTATGTCTGAATACGCTAACAAGAAGACTCGTGGTGCTTTCATCGCTGCCGTGTTTGCAATGCAAGGTATTGGTATCTTGGTTGGAGGTTTTGTGGCGCTTGCGGTTTCTACCATATTCGACAAGTATTTTCCAGCACCAATCTATGCAGTTGATAGGGCTCTCTCAACGCCTCCTCAGGCTGATTACGTTTGGCGAATCATCGTCATGTTTGGTGCTCTACCCGCAGTTTTGACTTACTACTGGCGTATGAAAATGCCAGAAACCGCTCGGTACACTGCTTTGGTTGCAAAAAACTTAAAACAAGCCACACAAGACATGTCCAAGGTCTTACAAATACAACTTGAGTTGGAGGAAATAGCGGCGGATATCAGTAAAGACCCCAAACTAAACTATGGCTTGTTCTCCAAGGAATTCGCCAAACGTCATGGTCTTCCCCTCCTCGGATGTACATCCACTTGGTTTTTGCTAGACATTGCCTTTTACAGCCAAAACTTGTTCCAAAAAGATATCTTCTCGGGTATAGGATGGATCCCAAAGGCATCAAGTATGAACGCCATCAATGAGGTTTTCAAGATTGCTAGGGCTCAGTCTCTCATTGCGCTTTGCAGTACTGTCCCTGGTTATTGGTTTACCGTTGCGTTTATTGAGAGCATGGGAAGAGTTGCAATCCAGCTGATGGGATTTTTCATGATGACTGTTTTTATGTTTGCCATTGCATTCCCTTATGAACACTGGACCAAACCGGACAACCGTATTGGATTTGTTATTATGTACTCTCTCACGTTCTTCTTCGCCAATTTTGGACCAAACGCAACGACTTTTATTATACCGGCCGAGATATTCCCAGCTAGGTTAAGATCCACATGCCATGGAATATCAGCCGCAACAGGTAAGGCTGGAGCCATCGTGGGAGCTTTTGGGTTTCTATACGCAGCTCAGCCACAGGACAAGACCAAGACGGACGCAGGATATCCACCGGGCATTGGAATCAAGAACTCATTGATCGTGCTTGGTGTCATCAACTTCGTCGGTATGCTCTTCACCTTCCTTGTCCCTGAGCCCAAGGGAAAGTCCCTCGAAGAACTGTCCGGTGAGAATGAGGTTGGGAAATGATGATGATGAAATCATTGTATTTGTTTTTTTCAATTTTATTATGTGGAGTGTGGTGTTTGTTTTTGTTTTTGTTCGTTTTTCCCATCTTTGATGTAACGATGTTTATAAGAAGAAATACTCCTCTTTCTCTATTATTTTTGGTGTAATGGAAATGTTTATGTGTTAAGTATATTGTGATGTGAACTAAATGTTAAAATCCTAGCTAGGTAACCGAGTGGTTGAAGTATGTGTTGATTCAATTTTCATTCTTGGGTTTGATTCTCTTTGGATTTAGATTTTGTGTTTATTAATAAATTAGCAACACAATGCATAGGTTCAAATAACGTAGAGAAATTTTAAACCAGTTACCAACAATTGAACAAAAATCAATTATGATTTTGGAGATAATTAACCCTTTCAAAGTTTTAGTTTAAAAAAAAAAATTATCTCTGTTTCGGCATTTGAGCATGTTTTAATAAATCGTATATGAATAAACATGAAAAGATAAGTTCATATGGGAGAATATGATGTTTTCTTATAGTTGAACTCAAAATTTGGTGTACTAATTTTTTTTTTTTTAACGTTGATTTATTATAATATTACAATTATAAAAAAGATTAGATAGACGATTCGACAACTGAAAACTTATGATGATTTGGTGTACTAAAATGTTATATGCATATTGTTTGAGATAAATTAGTTAGGCGAAAACATACTGGTAAAAATCAGCAATACATCCTATTTGTAAAATTCATGGCTAGAGATAAAAAGAAATATAGAAGATAAAAAAAATCAACATCTAAATATATCTCAAAAATGTTTCCTAATCCTAAGAGATAACCACGATACTGTTAGTAGATTACGAATATTTACTAAAAGTATGGGTTTCTTAACATGGATTTTAACGTAAAAAGAATGGATTCTATAATCTTCGATCAAACCCTAATCCAAGTCTATCCAACTGATGTTCCATCTAAGATACAAGATTCAAGGCAAGAATGACGAGTAGAAGGAATAAAGAAGATCTACAAAGGAGGTTTCCATATTCCTTCTACCAAGTCCATAGATATGCTCCCTCTTACCCTTAGCATAGAGCTCTCTCAACGCCTCCTTCCTCCTGGTTAGGCTACCATGATCCTTGTAGGCTATCATGGTAGCCGAACCAGGAGGAAGGAAGATCACCACTTACTAAAGAAGTACGGTTACTGCTATGCATAAAAATAGATCCATGCATGTGATCACCTTCATTGACATGCCCATATTTACCCGATTTGTGAAACAACTACCAACCAGACCAAGATGCATGCCCAATGAAGCACACCTATGAGTCTGACTACACTTGTTCAGGCCCACAGCATGCTCATGAGGAATACCAACAAATCTACCTTATGGTCAAGACCATGACGCCCTTCAGAAAAGATGATACCAATCAGTAATCAGTCTCACGATACTTACCCACCAAGCATGCCGAGGAAGGAGAACATGGTTAGGTTATTGTTTTTGATAAGTATACAATTAACAATGACAAGACTGTTGAGTTTAGACAATATGATGCAATATAACAAACTGTTTGGTGAACAAAAATTTACATTTACATTCATCAATAAGATATTATCAAAATATCAAATCTTGTAAAAACTATTTGAGGCAGATTTTTAGGAAAGTAAACAGATTACAATGACCTAGCTAAACACTAGTTAATTAAATAGTCCGTGAAAATTTTACTATCAGTGAAATCCGTGACGAAAAAATAAAACGTGTAGTGTAGTTTGGACAGAAAACGAAACAAAATCCCCAAACTTCGGACCATATGTTCACAGTTTGGAGTTTTTTCCCATTACGCAAGGTCAAAGATTGAAAGAGATCAGAGATTCAAAATGCTGGTTTATAAGGTCAACAAATAGGCGAAACACATCAATGGAAAAACAAGTACCGCTCTTAACCTCAAGAGGTTATTCAAAGTTTTTAATAACAAGCATCCTTGTTCGAGACAAAGCTCCTTTTTAAAAACCGGTCTAAGAGAGGCATGAGTAAGCAAGGTCCTTCTCTTCCTTCAATTCCTCTGCTGTTAAATCCATCTTCTTCCTTGATACTTCATCGATTGGTAAACCTGTTAACAACAGCAAACAACACACATCAGAACATTCTGTAAAACAGCAAACTCTAGTTCTTATAAAACATTTAGTTTTTAATTTGGTATAAGAAAAATATATCTACCTTGGACAATAGACCACTCTCCGTTACGGCAGGTTACAGGGAAAGAGTAGATAAGTCCAGATGGAACGTTGTATGATCCGTCTGAGTATACTCCCATTGAAACAAATGTACCCTGATAAATTGAACAAAGAATACATGATTTAGTTACTATAGTTTATTTAGTACACAAACAATCAACTAGTTCGAAAATGAATAGAACCTCGGGAGTTCCAAGGACCCAATCACGGATATGGTCACAAGCAGAGCTAGCTGCAGAGAGTGCACTAGACACCTTCCTGGCCTTGATAATAGCAGCTCCACGTTGTTGAACGGTACTGATGAACTCTCCATTCAACCTACATGCATTACTCTTAACAAATGTCGTATATAAAAAAAAAAAATTAACAAGAGGGTTTAAAGATTTTCTTACCACTCGTCGTCCTTGACAAGCTCACGCACAGTCTTCTCCCCAGAAGAAGTCTTAACACTAGCGTGGTTGACATCAGGGTACTGGCTCGATGAGTGGTTCCCCCAGATAATCACGTTCTTGACATCAGACACTGGCAGGCTCAACCTCTCAGAGACCTGTCCCAACGCCCTGTTGTAGTCAAGCCTTGTCAAGCAAGTGATGTTCTTCTCCGGGATGGAAGGTGCAAATTCCTTAAGGATCAACGCGTTGGTGTTTGCAGGGTTTGCAACAACCAAAACCTACCAAAAAGCAGATAATATATATCATTCACAGAACAATTTCATGATGGAGGCGAAAATGCTGTCTTATGATCTACACATCTCTTAGCCTAACTCTTATTCATTAGAATTGGATTTAAAATGCTCTCTTATGATCTACATATCTCTTAACCTTGCTTACTTAAGCAGTCTAAGATGCAAGTAACATTGTATCTCTATGGCATTGCAGCATTGAAATGAATTCAAGTACTTAACAAAAAAAAAATAAAAATATCTCATGATATGGCTAAAAGAAATGATTCGAAAAAGGACACGTCATCACCTTGCAGTTAGGTGCGGCGTGCTTCTCCAAAGCAGCAGCTTGAGACTTGTAAATAGAAACGTTCTTGGACATGACGTCTTTCCTCTCCATCCCTTATTTCCTCGGGAAACCACCGACCATAACTGCAACATTGACACCTGTACACCCTTCAACGGCGTCAGTAGTAGCCACCACACCTGTTTAATCACGAGAAAACCACGCAAGTGAGTACTAAGTTAATATAACCTCTCTGGTAACTGAAAAAGACGACGTCGTACCTTTGAGAAGAGGGAAAGCAGCATCGATCAGCTCCATTTTGACACCGTTCAAAGCTTCAGCAGCGGGAGGGATGTCGAGCATGTGGAGGATCACTGGCTGGTCTGCACCAAGCATTATCCCTCTTGCAATCATAGGTACAAGCGCATATCCGATTTGTCCTGCAGCATTTTACAAACTAACACACATGAATATGATCTTACTTAGTTCTTCACATGATTCTAACAAATTAACAAATACAGAGTTCTAGTGGTATGATTCTAGATACGAAACAATAACTTTGAGTTTGCTAACCAAAGATCGGAGAAATGTGAAGTTACCTGCAGCTCCAGTGACAAGAACACGAACTGGATCCTTCGCCATCTGATTGAACTGGTAAAAAATATCGCCGGAGAAAGAATGAAAAGGAGTCGTTGATTATGTGAGTCTAGGAGAGAGAGAGAGAGAGCTTGAAGTCGTGAAGATGGTTTGATTTTTATTAGATCCAATGGTGTGTTAGCCACGTCAGCTAATTCAATCGAATATCTCGAACTTGGAGATTACGTTTATCGTTTAGAATTTTTTAATGGGCCAGCGTTTACATAAGCAAGCCCATATATTTAACCAGAATCTATAGGTTTTATGCATTTTTTGGTGTGTAGTGCTAAGAGGCTTTAATCCAGAGTTAAGATTATATAAATTTGTGTTACAAAAAAAAGATTATATAAATTTACAACCGGATTTTAATTTAAACAGATTATATTTTTTTTTATATGTAGATGTTTTTGGGCAAACTGAAAAATATTTTTGTCACAAATAGATAATTTAAAAATAAAATGATCAAAACAAATGTTTTATCAATAAATAAGTAAATATACATTTGTACTCATTGGATTAATTAATTTTTAATTTTTTTTTTTGTTTTGAGTCGAGGAAGAAAAATTTTAGGTATAAGATTTCAAATTTTAAAAAATTAAAAAATCCTTAAAATTTTTAAAATTAAAAATGTTATTTTAGTCTTTTTAGTTTTTGAAATCTATTTTTGTGATAAAAATTTTAAAAAAAGTCTATTTTGAAATAATTACTTTTTAATATTGTTTTTTACTAAGAACATATTATATTGTTATACGTACACATCACACATGTAACAAGCTGAGCTCCGTGTAATATTAAATTTCAAGGATATTTTTAGGATATATCCTCTTTAATGTAGTTTACATTTTTAAGTGCTGTCTTAATATTTAAACCGAAATCGTAGCTGTCTTTGTAGAAAATGCATGTCATTATATGTTTGACAATGTCCAGGGGCACAAACATTTTTCTTAAAAAATACTTATCGGAAACTTTTTTATTTTATTTTTTTTTTATAAAAAGGACTTTCAGTTCGTGGAGAAAACTTGAAATTCTCCCAACATTCTAATCCAACTAATAATGTCAATATAAATAATCTCATAAATGTATATATAGTTCTAAATGGTGACGTCACTTTCTAATTAAATAAATAATTACCCACAAATGAAGAATAAAACAAGTTTCAAAGAAAGAAAACAAAAGTAAACAAATTAGGGATAAGGAAAGACATATCTCTCAACTCTCAAGGCCGTCTCTCGTTTTTCTTCTAACGTTTGATTTCGTCTCCAATTCGTTATCTCTTCCCTTTTTTTTTTCAAAACATATATACTCAATCCAAGTTTTTTTCCTCATAACAGTCGACGATAATCGAATCCGAAGACCTTTTTTTCAATTTCTCTTCCGTTTCGTTATCCTTTCTCCTCAACCTGATCTGAATCTTTTGTCAATTTGTAAACTTTTTAGTTTGGTTGTTTATAGCAAAAGCATAGCTCAAATCAAATTAGATTACTATCGATTTTGGGTCTCAATTCAACGATTAGGGCTAGCTACTTGATTCGATCTGAGTGGTTATAGATTCTCTATCGAGCTAGGGAACACAATTGAAGATCTGAATTAGAGTTTGTTGAGATCGTTTTCAGCTAATCGGGTCTGATTTGAGACGAATTTAGGGTGAGAGAAAGATCGAATTAAAAGAAAGGGTTACTTTTCTGATTTTGAAAGTATGGATCGTGTGGTTGGTGGTAAGTATAAGCTTGGACGTAAACTCGGAAGTGGATCATTCGGTGAACTCTTTCTAGGTATTATTGAAAGTTATTTTTTTTTTATTTGGTTATGTCTTTTTTTTAGTAAATTATGATTTTTTTTTCTTTCAGGTAAGAATGTGCAAACTGGAGACGAAGTTGCAGTGAAGCTTGTAAGTCTTGACTATGTCTTCCTTTTTTGGTCAATCTTGTTCGAATGATTAATAGATTTGTGTTTGTTTGGGTAGGAACCTGCGCGGGCTAGGCATCCTCAACTTCATTATGAGTCAAAGCTCTATATGCTTCTTCAAGGAGGAAGTGAGTTTTGTTCTTTATGTGTTCATTTCATTCTTTGGTTTTTATTTTGAACTGATTTTTACACTTTGTGTTGGTGAAAAGCTGGTATTCCACACCTGAAATGGTATGGGGTTGAAGGTGAATACAACTGCATGGTGATTGATCTTCTGGGGCCTAGCTTGGAGGATTTGTTTAATTATTGTAGTCGGAGGTTTAATCTTAAGACTGTTCTTATGCTCGCTGATCAGATGGTATGAAATTATTGTTCTCTTCACTGGAGTTATTACACTGTTTTATATGTTTCTGTTTTTGATTTGTTTAGTTAAATCGAGTTGAGTATATGCATGTCCGGGGATTTCTTCATCGTGATATTAAGCCAGATAACTTTCTGATGGGTCTTGGACGCAAAGCTAACCAGGTGAGTTGTTATGGTATGTATGTAATTAATATTATGTTGTATCCAAGCTCTGATATGTAACTCTTTGTTCTTGTGTAGGTGTACATCATTGACTACGGGCTTGCCAAAAAGTACAGAGATCTTCAAACTCATAAACACATTCCCTACAGGTGCTTATTATACTTCATCTTGATGAATGAGTTTGCTGCGGTTACATTTAGAATATAAGGAATATTGAGAGATACTTTTTTATAGAGAAAACAAAAATCTTACTGGAACAGCTCGATATGCAAGTGTTAACACTCATCTTGGTATTGGTGAGTGTTTTTTGCTCTTACTCTTCGATGCTTCCATCATATTTGTCAAACTTCTAAAACTGAGATCTCTTGTGCAGAGCAAAGTAGAAGGGATGATTTGGAATCCCTTGGCTATGTACTTATGTATTTTCTTCGTGGAAGGTATATATATATTTGCTTCCATTTGATATAATTTCATCTTACCCTCGTTTTCTATTTTTAGTCTACCTTGGCAAGGCCTTCGCGCGGGTACAAAAAAGCAGAAGTATGACAAGATCAGCGAAAAGAAAAGACTTACACCCGTAGAGGTAATTAGTTTCTTGTCCGTTTTTCAATGGTGTTGAGAAGCCAATGATGTTACCTTAGAGGTCTTTTACTTACCAAAAGATACAATTTATATCTCTGTTGGTAGGTTCTATGTAAATCCTTTCCACCTGAGTTCACATCATACTTTCTCTATGTACGATCATTGCGGTTTGAAGACAAACCAGATTATCCATACCTAAAGCGGCTTTTCAGGGATCTGTTTATCCGAGAAGGTTGGGAAAACTTATGCTTGAATATTTTTCACATAAAACACACAAAACAAAATAATTGGTTTTAAATGTTATATGTTTGCAGGTTATCAGTTTGACTATGTATTTGATTGGACAATCTTGAAGTATCCACAGTTCGGTTCAAGCTCCAGCTCCAGCTCCAAACCAAGAGTGAGTAACATCTATACTTGGAGTTCTCCATCATTTTCAATTTCTCTAGAGAATATTATCATGATTGATTTTGTGTTTAAACAGTCAAGCCTTAGACCAGCTCTGAATCCCCCATTGCCATCTGCCGAGAGACCAGAAAAACCTACAGGTAAGCCTTAAGCTTTGTTGTTAAAATCAAATGAGAATCTATTGATCCAATTCCAGTTTTGATTGAATACTGGTGTTACAGAACCAATACCATGGTTAAAGACATTGTTTGCTGCTGAACATTCTCCTCTCATAGTTTATTTGATGTTTGAAGAAACCAAATTTTGTTAATGTATACAGCTGGACAAGACAGCCGGGATAGATTCTCGGGTGCTTTAGAGGCATATGCTAGAAGAAATGGCTCAGGAAGCGGCGCGGTTCAAGCTGATAGATCGAGACCAAGAACCTCAGAGCATGTATTAGCATCATCAAAGGACTCAATACCAGTGAGTCATCTCAACAATAATCAAAATTCTTTCTCATAAATGCTCTTGAAATACTTTAAACATAAAATCGTTCTTTGGTTGAAAACTAGCAAAACTACGAGAGAGTTGAAAGACCAATCTCTTCAACAAGACACGCAAGTTCTTCAAGAAAAGCCATTGTCTCGAGCGTTCGAGCTACTTCTTCAGCTGACTTCACAGAGAACCGCTCGAGCAGAGTTGTTCCAAACAATGGGCGTTCCTCAACCACTCAAAGGACTCAACATGTTCCTGACTCGACCACTAGACCATCGTCTTCTTCATTTTCCCGAGCTGTGCCATCGTCGAGGACTGCTCGTGACATCGCGCTCCAGAACTTTGAGCTACTTACCATTGGGAATGGGAAGAGGAAGTGAGAAGCTGTGACATTTCTATGGCTTACTTTACGATGAATGAGTGGGGGGAAACTGTGACATTTGTATGGCTACTTTGTTTTTTATTGCGCGGTTTCCTAATTTTAAAGGAATAAGACGAACATCATTTGACTAAAAAATGTATGTGATAAATATATGGGTTTTGTTATAATAATACTTATAGTTTATCAGTACAGATAAATAAAGCGAACGTCATTTGACTAAGAAAATGTACGTGACAAATAAATGGATTTTGCTATAATAGTTATAATTTGTTATTTTCAATAAATAGAAATAAAGACAATGTTTATATCTACAAAAATAAGGGCTGATACTGATATACAATAGAACCTCTATAAATTAATACTCGATAAATTAATAATCTCTCTAAATTAATAAATTTTGCTGGTTCCAACTTGGGTCGGTTCAAAATTTGACACAAATCGATAAAATAATAAGATAATAATTTTTTAGAAAGTTCTATGTAAATATATGGTCCCATTAAAATTATAAATTAATAATTTATATTTACATTTTTACATATTTAATATAAGTAATAATATATTATTATATTCTTTGTTTTATATTTACAAGGGAATTCTTTTTATATTTTCTTGACACTTAATAAATTTTTGATGAGCTTTAGTACTATTATATCTAAAACCATATTTAAATTCTATGAAATATATATTATATATCAAGTAATATAAGAAATTTAATATAAATTTCAAATTTCAAAAAATGATAATAAATATCTATACACTAAAATAAAATATTTTTTCTTATTTTAGAATTAATATATTTTTTTTTAAAAAAAAAATCTAAATAATAGAAATAAAGACAATGTTTATATCTACAAAAATAAGGGCTGATACTGATATACAATAGAACCTCTATAAATTAATACTCGATAAATTAATAATCTCTCTAAATTAATAAATTTTGCTGGTCCCAACTTGGGTCGGTTCAAAATTTGACACAAATCGATAAAATAATAAGATAATAATTTNCATTTTTACATATTTAATATAAGTAATAATATATTATTATATTCTTTGTTTTATATTTACAAGGGAATTCTTTTTATATTTTCTTGACACTTAATAAATTTTTGATGAGATTTAGTACTATTATATCTAAAACCATATTTAAATTCTATGAAATATATATTATATATATCAAGTAATATAAGAAATTTAATATAAATTTAAAATTTCAAAAAATGATAATAAATATCTATACACTAAAATAAAATATTTTTCTTATTTTAGAATTAATATATTTAAAAAAAAAAATCTAAATAAGGAAACTTTGGTAAATTAATATCTCTATAAATTAATAAAATTTCAAAGTCCCAACATTATTAATTTATAGAGGTTTAACTGTATATATAAGAGTATTTACACATTCTATACACACAAAACCCTATAATTGGGGATATACCACTTTTTTCTCCCCAATTCTCAGTAACTCTCTCTTTCACGGTATTTAGCCAATTCACCCTAAATTATTTCTCTTAAAACTTGTAAGTGTATCCAATAACTTGAGAGTTGTGCTTGTATACAAGCTTGATTATCCTATAACATTCATGTATATTTTTACTATATTGATTCTAGTTCTAACAAATTACTCTTCTATTTCAATTTAGTTGTTATTGTAGAATAAATTTTTTGTTTTAAAATAAACGTCATTTTATAATTTCAATGCAAAATTTATTAACTTAATATTATTTATATTTTTAAATGATTGAAATGTAGTTAGATTTATAAGTAATGATGTTTTTGTTTTGAAAAAAAAATGTAAAACTAAATATTTTTTTTAATTTGTGTGCACGAATTTAAACACAATTAAAAGAAAACGAAAGCATTATTTAGTTATTAATTAATGTATCGATGCAGAAATTCTCGCTTTCGCACATCTATCTTGATTGGGTAGATTAGATTTAGAAGAAAAAATTGTTTAATCTAAAATCAATCCTCAAATCTAAAAGGAAGAAGAAGCTACCTAGAATTAGCATGTACACCTATCTATCCACTTGTCTAAATTTAGACCGTCTTCATTCCATCTGTCCTATAAAACGCGAACCAAATAGAATCGTCCAGAAAAGAACACAACAAAAGATATCAAAATAATCAGAGGGAACAGAATTCACCGCATAAATCAACAAAAGTTCCCCTCGACGCAAGAAAATAACTAAGATTCAACGAATGGAGTATTCCATTCGATCTCTAGACCTTTCTTGTGTATCGAATGGAATATTCTTGTCTTGTCACTATGGAGATTACTTCTGCTTCTTCCATTCACAAACATTTATTTAATAAACTTTAAGTTTTGAGACTTTAAAGAAACTAAACATTGCTCTCGAGACTATGGCATTGTCGGTATCTTCTGCCATGTTGTCAGCAGGTAATAGCGTAAAAGGATTCTTGAAAATTCACTTTTATTAATTCAAGTTCCTAATATTTGGTTTTAGGTGTTGAAGATGATAAGAAACAGAAGGCATTTGTTTTCCCTAAATTTGTCGTAATGGGACATAGAGGATTTGGGATGAACATGCTTCAATCTCCTGACGAGAAAATGAAATCAATCAAAGAAAATTCTATTCTTTCTTTCAATGTGGCTGCAGATTTTCCCATTGACTTCGTTGAGTTTGATGTCCAGGTTTGGGGTTTTTACTTTTTACCTAGAATATCTTCATAATTTGTTTTTGTTTTTCAAGAAAAAAAATAACAAAATACAGGTAACTTAAACCAGAAGTACCTTGCTTTTGTAAATCGTAAATGTAAACGCTAAACAAGAACACTAAACATAGATGTCTAAATGGTAACATAGGGAACGAAAGGGAATAATCAATTCCTACTTATTCCTTAAAAAATACCATTCATAAGGAATATTTCTTGTGTATAATTCCTTGTCATTCCTTGAATTCTAAGGAATTATAGAACAAAAACATTCCTTATCAAAATTGATATGGAACCAAAGTAATAAATATTCCTTTTCATTCCTTTTATTTTGTTCCAACTTATTATTTTCCTACTCATTCTTATTCCTATTTTAATGGTCACCAGTTCAATAATATTTTAAATTTTGTATGGAACGTTTATTTTAAAAATAAAGGCAAATTGCATAAACTTGCGTTTAAAAGTTAAAACAATGAAGACATTCTATAAAAGGAATGTAACTATTTTTGTAGGTGACAAGAGATGGCTGTCCTGTAATATTCCATGATAACTTCATCTTCACGCAAGAACAGGTTAGGTTTTACTCTCTTTTTCACACAAATAATTTTGTTTTTGGTAAAAAAAAAATTGTTCTGATTAGCAAAGATAATTCAGCAAAGTTGGCATCCAAATTTTCAGGGAATTATCATTGAGAAAAGAGTTACGGAAATGGCTTTACATGAATTTATCTCTTATGGACCACAAAAGGATGGTGCAAATGTGAATCCTATGTTCAGAAAGACAAAAGATGGAAGAATCTTTCAGTGGAAAGTCGCTAAGGATGATCCTTTGTGCACCCTTAAAGATGCCTTTGTAAAAGTTAAACGTTCTAAAGGATTCAATATCGAGCTCAAATTCGATGATAATATTGTGTATGGAGAAGAAGAGTTACGTCAAACTCTTGAAAACATCTTGAAGGTAAACAGCATATTCTTTCACTCCCCTGATATTTGGTCTTGTTGTGTTGCTTCAGTAACGTCAACTGTTTTAACTTCCGGTGATAAATCTGTTATTGAACAGGTTGTGTATGAGCATGCAGAGAACCGGCCCATAATCTTCTCAAGCTTTAATCCTGATGCGGCTCGACTAATCAGGAATTTGCAAATGAGCTATCCTGTAAGATTTGCTTCTTTAATTTTATTTTCCCCATCTATGCCATCACGCTACCGATCAGTTACTTCCCACCAGAAATTGGAGTTATATTATAGTTATATTAATCATTTTACTTGGTTTAGTTAATGTAGCTGAAATGCATATATGTTTTTTTTACTAGTGAAATGAAATATATATATATGTTAGGTATTCTTCTTAACAAATGGAGGATGTGAGATCTATGCGGATGTTAGAAGAAACTCATTGGACGAAGCCATCAAGATTTGCAAAGAATGTGGTTTGCAAGGGATTGTTTCTGAGGCTAAGGCCATATTAAGAACCCCAAACGCAGTCACTAGAATCAAGGACTCAAAACTTTCACTTATATCCTATGGCCAGATTAAGTACAGCGAAATAAACATCTTTTTGTGTTTCATATTATGCTCTTATATCTCTCGCCACCTCTGTTATTATTCTGAAACGAAATATCTTTAATAATTTCAGCAATAACGTGGAAGTGGTTTACTTACAATATCTCATGGGTGTGGAGGGAGTGATCGTTGATATGGTCATGGAAATCTCTCAAGCTATCGCCAGTATCGAGGTTAGGAATGCGGAAGATGATGAACAAGACGATGGAAGAAAGTGTCTGATTCTGCTCGGAGAGGAGAGCAAAAAGGTGAGGATTTCTAGTGATGCGATCGCTTTCTTAACAGAGTTCGTACCAAAGACTACTTTATTTGTTCAACAATGAAGTTTTTAATTTATTTATTCCACTTGTACATAGAATATTTTGTTACGACCATTTTTTTATTTATTTGTGTACTGACGACCATGCTCAAACATTTTCTTTATAGTTTCAATTTTTATGGGATGTAAATAGACTACTTATTTTGGCAGTTTTAATTAAAAGTTTGTTGCGTAGTTGTTGTATAGTGTGTGTATTCGATTGCTAATAAGGTGCACATGATACTATCTCTTTGGATATTAGCCTAAAAGAAGAATAAAACTTGTGAATACATTCCAATATCTAGGATGTAAGATTTGGGATCTTTTTAGTTCTCTTATTTGTCGTCCTTTAGAAAAAGATTGTAACAGTAACATGATCTCCGACGAGTATGCATCTTCAAACTGTCTTTAATGTTCCGATCCTATATGTTTTGGGCTGACCTGGTCAGGTCGGTGTTGACTTTGTTCTGAGTTTGGGATGGGCCGTTTGTTCTTCTTGAATCTATTGTCCTCTTATCGGACTATTGAACTATAAGACAAGACTCTTGATCAAATTTGGAGTGGAGTGAACCTACCTCTAACAATTGTCATCTTCCTTACAAACCAAAACACAAATTGAGAATCCAAACTAAAACATCATCTACAAAAATCTCCCGAATCGAAATTTGTTCCAGGAATTGTCAATTGTGTAGTCATGCAACGCGGTGGTTTGGACTCTTTATTTTACTCACGAAAACATATGGATTATTCTAATGTTTTGACTAACCTTTCTGTATATAACCGTGATTAGTTACAAAATTTAATTTGGTTTTAAACTTGGAAAAAGTACCTCAAAACTTTTTAATGGAATTTAAAACCTCTATTATTAAGCTTCTATAATATAAAAGGGCTCCCAAATTACGCCACTAAGCAATATAGGCTCTGTCTATATACGTTAACACTACATGGTTGACTTTGTTGAATGATTTGAAAAGGAAAAATCCAAAACCAATTCATCAAATAGCAGATATGACAAAACCTAAACCACTAAGTCAACCGAACTTGTCTATGTCCGCTACCTATAGTCACACAAAGTTTTTTGTTTTTACATCGCAAAGTCAAAGCCACGTAGCAACAAAAGAACTCGATTTATTAATGTATGGGACCTAAGATACAAGCTTACGAATTTAGCCACGACGGTTTATTCATAAAATGTGTGGACAACTACTAAAAAACTAGTGATAAGATGACCCATTTAATCGTAGTGTTATAGGTTGTCGCAAGTTCAAAAATGACAAAAACGCATTATTGCCCCATCTTTTCAAAATAAATTTTACAAAAATAACTATATTTCTTCGGTTTTATAAAGAGTGATATTTGACTTTTTGTTTCAAATGCAATTTATATTTAATTTCAACTCGATATTAATTGAAAATTACATTAATTTTATAAAAATATATATGTCAAATATTATTTATTAAATAAATCTAATTAATAAAAACATAAATATATTTTAATCCATTTTTTAATCTATGTGAGAAATGTCAAAATAATATTTTTATGAAACGGAATGAATAATATACTAATATATATCTGGTAGTTCATGTTGATGTTTTCTGAAATAAACCAAAAATATAAACTCTATAATTCATGTTATTACCAAATGTGTACGTATGATATTGCACCATAATATTCTGATATGGTGTCCAGACTTACAGCATTTCTTACTATTGTGTTTCTTATGATTAGAGATTTTGGATCAAATTCCGTAGCAAATACAACTTTCAATTTTCTGGCTTTGTTTCTTTTTCAACCGAGTTATTGATCCTTATGGTGGCTTTAATTATTTCGTCATCTAAACTTTTTTATTTATTTAAACGTTCACACAGCATGGATCCAAATCGTTGTTATTAATTATAAGAGAAACCCCCAATTAAATTGATCATTTAACTCAAAAATGCTTACACATAAATTACTCAAAAATAGAGATAATTCATTTTAGTATTATATATGTAAAATTAGTATCTCTACCAGTAGACCCGTCAATAAAGTTTAAACATAAATTCAACACACCTTTGTCTTTAAATAACAAGAATCTCCTTTTCGATCCTCTTTATCCCTCCACCTACTGTCCTGCTCCGCAACTCGTATGTGTTTTCTTGTCCCACACTCATATGGCAGAAGAAGAAGTCTCTGAGTGGAATACAAGGTATGGAAGCCACGCCCTTGACGAGCTTTTTTTAAGTCAGCCACATCTCTTCTTTCTGCCTCAAGAACAACAGCTTAGGCTCATGCCAAAGAAAAATTCCATCATCAATAGGTTAGTCTCATCAAAGTTTGACTCCGGTCCGAGAATCCAAGATATTGCAAACGCTCTGGCCATGGTTGAACCCCTAACTCACCCAGTCCGACAAATATCTGAACCAAGGTAACAACATAGAGAATTTTTTCAACTTCAATATTTACTTTTTTTTTAAATCAGCCTTCGATTAAAATAACTCAAGAGCCTTGTTTATCAATATTAGGATCCCAATATTGGGAAAGAGTACTTTGAGAAAGGTGGATAGGTACACATTAAAGGTGAAGAACAACTCTAATGGAATGAGTGATGATGGATACAAATGGAGAAAGTATGGTCAGAAATCCATCAAAAATAGTCCCAATCCAAGGTACAGATAATATATATACATGATCTGCTTCAGAATTCCTATATATATATAAAACTTCTATGGTTCAGCCAAAGCATATTGTATTTGTATATAGCAAACACTTAAACTTTTGCTCACTAGCCTTATGTTACCACTATGTCTGATTTATGTGCAGAAGTTATTACAAGTGCACAAACTCAATATGCAATGCAAAGAAACAAGTGGAGAGATCAATTGATGACCCTAACACATATATCATCACCTACGAGGGTTTCCATTTGCATTTCACCTATCCTTTCTTCTTATCCAATAGCACACATAGATCCAATAAAAAACCAAAAACACATGATGATGCTCAATATAAAACCCATTTTGAAATCAATCCAAAATCTCTAACCCAAGAAAAAAACAAACAAACCAAACTAGTCGAACCCGACTACCAAAACTGTATGGCATATGAAGCCGATGGAACCACGCCCACAAACCTAGAAGATGAATTGTTTTTCCCACTTATTCAGGGCAGGAAGCAACAAGGGCTTCTTGAAGATGTGGTGGCTCCGGCAATAAAAAATATTCTGACCAATGATAATGTTTTGGCAGCTTCTTGGTCTTCGTTATCGTCTTGTACTTCCTCAACATGCTCTTTTTCTCGGACCGATTCACCACCACTTTCTCCGTCTTTCTTTAAGTTGGACTCCCAGATATTCAACATCAGATTTAGTGATGAAAGTGTTCAATCGGATCTTGTAAACTTCAAGCATTTATGATATTTGTATTAAATATATATGTTTGTATGTATCCGCAAATTTGATTTTTGTTTTAGTCTTTCCGGATCAGAATAACATGTTCTTTGATACAGTTAGCAAACTAACATTATAAAGTAAGTTTGCAAAATCGTCGTTTACAAAGCCCTGTTTTGGGTTTAGAAAAGAGTTATTTTCATTGCAGGTCACATTGTGACTTTTTATTACACGTGAGAGCACATTGTGCTACTAAGACACTTTTTAAGAGTTAAAGACTTATTTATCCTCTAAAAAGTGAAACTAAAGAGGGTATTGCAGTAATTGGGCAATTCTTTCTAGTTGGGCTGGTTAGCTTATTTATTTATTTTTTTTGAAAATACGGTTTAAGTTGGTGGACGTGAAACGTAGGTGAAATTGATTCACACGGGTCTGGAAAAAAAATAATTCTTGTCAGATTTTTTTTTTCTTCAGCAACAATAAAAAGCAGAGAAAAGATGAAGAAATTTTTTTTTGACCAAAGATGTTGTAACGATGGAGACTGCGATGTCGCAAAAGAGGAGAGATTTAAAGGGCAAAGAAAAAGGTTAGATCCATTTATTGTTTACATCTCGACTGGTTCGGGTATTTCCGGTTGCTTCCATCTCGATTCTCGATGTGAGGTATAGATTCGCAAATTTTTGGGTTAGTGTTTTGATTCTGAGATTTTGTTTTTGGGATTAAGGTTTGAGATTTCAAATTTGGGATTTGGATTCGAGATTTCGATTTTGGAATTAGGGTTCTATTTCAGAGTTTTTTTTTGTTTTCTATCGGTTTTACAGAGGTGGCGGTGAATGAAAAAAGCTTTCCTAATTTTGGGATTAGGGTTCCAATTTCAGAGTTTTCTAAATGATAATCGAATTGTGTAAAGATGAATGTTATTTTGGCTAAAAATGTGTATATTGTTTTTTAGTGTACATGCGTACAATAGCGTATAGTTGTTTGCGTGGACATCGAGTAGCATTAGAGCAAAATGTGATGGCCACTGATTTTAGGAATTCAAATCCATGTGTGCTATGTTTGAATTGTATGTGCTCTTGAATTTCTACAATATTTCAGGTGGATTCAAATCCGTGTGTGGTATGTTTAACATGCTAATGTATACACACATACAAAGAAAGCAAGATTATATACATTGACACTTCAGCAGCAAAAATGTACATGCTACTCCTTTGAGAAGTCAAATCTGTGTATAAAATGCATGGCTGCTAATTTTGGTTCTTGAATGTATACTCCTTGTCAGGTGAAGCATGATTGAAGTGTGGTTGTGTGTGCTATGTATGTCACGGTAATGTATACATGCGTACAAAGAAGAATGATTGTACACATGGATAGCCTGAGATATGTTTACAAAATGTACACGGTCGGAGTATGAAGATATTAGTTAAGTGAGAGGATGAAAACCTTTATGTTATTTTCTCTTTTAAGGATAGGTCTTTTGAAACATTTATATATTATAAGATACAGATGTATGTAGGAATATTGTGTTAGATTTGTATTGGTAAATTTAGCAAGGAAAACTAATAGAAATAGAAGGTAACAAAGGAACATGTCCACGTTAACATCATTCATGTTATGAGGCTCTCTTAGGACATCATTTAGCGTAAACTGTACATATGAACATCATTCATCATAAGATGTACATAAGAAGAAAACATGTAGACAAACTTTCCAATATGGTAAGGAGTATATGTGTACACAAACAACGATTTCCAAATACATTTACGTTGTAAACGTGTGTACAAAAACACAAATTTTCATATATATACATTACTATGCATGTACAGAAATGAAGATGTACATATGGACATTATTCGTCGTATGATATACATAAGAAGAAGATGTGTACACAAGTTTTCACCTATGGTTAAGGGGTAGGCGCGTACAAAAACGACGATGTACATCTGTACGTCGTACATTGTAAACACGTATACAAAAACAACAATATCCTCATGTACATTGCAAATGCATGTACATAAATGAAGATGTACATAAAGTTAGCTGATCCAGATTAGCTTCTCGAGTACCTCCATGATCAAGACCGACACTTACAAAGATAAATATTTTTGCACTTCCATTCTTCTTAGATCCAGATTCCCTTATTCCCTTGTTGTTAAATTTCACTATAACAACTATTTAGAAACCAAAAATTATGTGGTAAATGGCAGTTTCTACGGTTCTGATAAATGGGAAGATGAGATTTGTTTTTTTACTTTACACTGAAGAAGAACCAAAGAAGAAGAACCAAAGAAGAAGAGATAGAATGTAGGAGAGAGGTGAAAGTGGATAAGTGATGCTTGATCTGAGCCATCGAAAAGAAAAAGATTTAATCGAATGGTTGTGGTTAAAGGAATCTATATGTCTTATCCATATCTGCAATATTAAATCCTAGCCATAGGATGTGTTTTTATATCAATGGTTGGGACAAAAACCTGCCAACTATACAAAAACTATTTTTTTATTTTGATGCCTTAAGATTAGAATGTAACGATAAGAGAAAGGAATAGTTGAGACAGAACAAGAATCGGAGTGAGTTGATGTGAAAAGTGTGTCTGTATAACAATGTGTTCTATACTGAAATTAAAGATGAGGAAAGTGACCTGCAGTATAATATTTCTTTAGAAAAATGCCATTCCAGGTATTTGTTTTTGTTCTATAACCTGATTCCACCGTATATTTAACTGATACTATAAATGCCATTACTATGTATCAGGTTTAGAAAAAGACTTACACTTGCCACTATACTTTTAACTATTTTCACATCATTTGAATGTAAATTTGCATTAACTAAATCCATGTTTCAGGAATGATCCACCAGATTGATTAAATTGTCCACAGTTAATAAATGGTTAAGTATTGAATATTTTTGGAATTACTGACCTAGAATGAGGAGCCAATGGCATTCCATGCTAAGATGGATTTTCATGTTCCCTCTCTTTTGATTATCTATTTTTAAAGATCGAGCTTTCATACTCCTCAATCCGTATGATGGCGTGTATGATTTAATTTGATCCAAATATCTGACTTCATATAGTACCTCCCTTTAAAAACTTAGCTAACTAAATGCCTTAAAAATGATAGGAAACTAAGTAAAACTACGCAAAGTTACCAAGTGCTGAAACATCATTTGGCCTTCTATGAATTCTCAACTCCAATATTATTTTTTTAAATCCTCAATCCCATCACCAAAACTTCACATATTGAATTTAATTTTTTAATTAAACATTTTGATCATATTGGTCATTGTGTATTATATTTATGATAAACAAAAATTCCTAGGAATTTTCTTTCATATGTATAACAACAAGGGTGTGCCATTAAATAAAATTACAGTATTATAGGCAAACAAAACGTTTCAGTTACAATCAAACGGGAAATACAAACAGTCATTACTACTCCATGTCTTTACATATGAAAGGACTAAACAGCTTGCTCTTCGCTTTTCTACACCAGAATCTACTCTAAAATCTAATTGATTCATGCCAGCTCAGTGAAGAAATGGTGAAAAAAGCTAGAAAAACAGAGGTTCTACCAACGGAATCTGTTTCAGGGAGGGCACATCCACGACAGGCTATGCATTTACTCAACGTCTCCTCAGGACAGTCTAACAATCCCAAACATGTTAGAGGTATCCAAATAGATCATTGCAAAACACAAAGGCAGCTAATATCCTTAATCTATCTATTCTTCTAACAATGTCATAACTCATACGCACACAGTCGGTTTGGGAACACGTCCATGGTTACAGGACAAGTATTTTGTTTCAGCTGCAACATCATCATCTACCATTCTTCCTGCTACAGGTTCTGTTCTGTCACCAAGAATACATTTACACTGCAGCCCTTCTCTTAACTAACCCACATCTTAAACAACAACTTTGTGTTATCGTCTTATCGAACACAGGTGACATGGGAAAGCTTGCAAGGCAAGCTAGGAAACTAATACTAGACCGTAAAAGATCTTCACAAAAAGGTATAGCCGCCTCAACTCAACGCTCCTTTAAACTTTTACTTTGTCTGCAACTATTTCACAACGTCGGTTAACTAATACTTGGAATCTTTAAAATTCGCAGACACACCTCACGCGACAAACCCAGCACATGTGCTCCCTTTGAACACTAACAGCAGTTCTATTACCACAGAAAGTGTCGCTCACCGTCATGAGAACATCTCTTTTCCTACTGTCTTAGCTAACACCAATGTGCTCCAAAATAAATGTATGTTCTCTTAAGCTTAACATTACATCTGCCAATTTTTAAATCGTTATCCCAAAAACTAATGCTCCCAAACATTAACAGCTAAAGCAAAGGAAAAAAGGGCGTTGCGGATTCAGATTCGTAAAGCTAAAATCGTACGGAGGCCAAGAAAAAGTAAGCACATCTTACCGTCACACATTAGCCAGTTAATAAGGAAGCTGGTTAGCTTACTTACTAAACGAACTCCCTCTGCTTTTTACAATGGAAAGCTCTAACTAACAAACTGTTTAGTAAAAAATATGTATTTACTAATTTAACCTAATTTAAATTGCAGCACTCAACGCTCCATCCAACAAAAAAAACAAAGGCAGGCCATTTTTACAATTAAACGTTACAACCCATACTCTTACCATCTAATGTGCAACTTGCTACAAAAAAAACTTATTTCTTACAGGTCTCGAAACCGGCAGCAGCTCAACAAAAGGAGATTTGATGACATGTCCTATTTGCGGAGCCTTGGTTTGGAAAGGTGAATCAGTGAAGAATGTTAGTGTTACTGCCAATATGAGGTTCAGCATTTGTTGTCTACAAGGCAGAGTTGGCCTCCCACCTGTCCGTTGATGGGTAACCGCCGCAGAATATATAACAAATATTTTGAGTCATTTGGGGACTTTTTTTTTTTTGGACAACTAGTCATTTTGGGACTTATAACAGCTTAAACTGAGCTGGACATATATATAAGAAAACTCTATATATAACATATCCTACGGATATTTCTTTGTTCTCTGCGTCAAGAACTTCATAAATAAGTAAGCTTAATAAAGCATCTTTGATTTTCTTGAGTCGTGAGTTGTCAATGTGTTTGTTAAGATCTGCCGTTCGTTTTGCTAGGCATCAGGAGTTTAATGTACTGATCAAACTAGATCATAGACTGAATTGCGTATCGACTGTCATCCAGTTTAACCCACTCGAACATGAGGTTGGCTTTATTAGACTAAACTGGTCAAGGGTGATAATCAAAATCTCAAAGATCAACTTCAACTGTTCAGTATGTAAAAGATGAATTTATAGGAATCAACAAATTGAATTTTAACGTAGAGGAAATTTTAAACGATCGAGACAATGGACTCGAAGCAAAGTCATCAGATTATTCGATCTCGTGTAGAAACTATATTACAAATACTTTTTTAAAAAGTTCTTCCAAGAAAAGACCTTATTGTTTCCTTACCAGGCAGACAAAGAAAAAACCAACCGAAACTCGATCTCTAATCACAGTTTAGAGAAACGAGGTTGTCTTTTCATCATCTGAGCAGAGACAGCTTCATTAAGATCTTCCGAAATAAGCATACCCGAGTTCCAAGTTGCAACATAATCAAGTCCTTGTTCTACACTCATCTCTCTACTTCTCAACAACACTGCCTTCGTCCCCGTCACAGCTAAAGGAGACTTCGCTGCTATTCCTACACAAAAAAAAACTCTCATTAAAAAAAATCAAATCAAATCACAAAAAAAAAAAAAATCTAATTACCTTCTGCAATAATCATAACCCCTTTATCAAGCTCCAACTTAGATCCAAAAACCCTAGAAACAAGACCAATATCCTTCGCCTCACACCCAGAGAATCGTCTCCCCGTCAACGCCAACTCCATAGCATTCGCATAGCCAACGATCCTCGGCAACCTCTGCAACGTCCCAAGATCCGCAACGATCGCCAGATCAACCTCTTTGACCGAGAAGAAGGCCTCCTCTGAGCAATACCTAACATCACAAGCCGTAACCAAATCAACCCCTCCTCCAATACACGCGCCGTGCACCGCGGCGATGACAGGCTTCCGACACATCTCCACGGCCGTTATCGCCGCCTGCATGGACTTGATCCTGCGTCGTAGAGCCTCGCTGGAGCGTCCTCTGTCGGTGCCTGAGGAGGATTGGGTTGAGATCGTGGAGAGGGAGGAGAGGTCGATGCCGGAGCAGAAGTGTTTGCCGGCGGCGGAGAGGATGATGACGGAGACGTCTGGGTTTTGGTCGAGGGAGGAGAGGGCTACGGGGAGTTCGGAGAAGAAGTCGAGGGATAAGGCGTTGAGGTGGGAGGGTCTGTTGAGGATGAGGTGGAAGACGGAGGGTGAGGTGGTGTTGTTGCGGATGATTTCTAGGGTTTTGTAGGGAGGATCCATTAGGTTTTTGAACTGAGAAATGGTGATGATGAGGTTGGAAGAGATTTGAGGTTGGAGAGATGTAGTTTGTTGGGAACGATGACTTTTTTGGTTTGGTTGGAGACGGTTAACGATGAACCGGGTTTTCCGGTTATCGGTTCGATGAACCGAGGAAATCTAACTTTTCAACATGCCTCGACCGGCGTGGTGTTTTTTGTTTTTGGTTCAAAGTTGAAAAGAATGTACCATTGCATGCTGGTCGAGGTTATCGGTTATAAGGTACAATAGATTGAGGTTTACAGAATTTGACCATAGATGCAATGGTACATTCTATTATTTATCTTGAAACACTACTGGATTCAACGCCTAACAGAATCACCATTGTATTTTTCAACCACAAGAGAATGAGTTCACTCCACTACTCAAAATGAACTCATCCTAGGGATGTTAGATTCAGATTTCAGTTCATTTCTTAAAACAAATGTAAAGGAGAAAAGAAAAATATTAATGGATTTAAAATCAAATATATATATATATATATATATAAGACAAATATAATCTATTATTTATGTGTTTAATTGTGACAACAACTAAGGATATTTTTTAATGTTTACTATTAGGATAAAAATAGAAAAAAACATTGAATCTTAATATTACTTTCAAATTTAAAATGAGAGTAAAAGAAATATTTTTAAATGTTCATCCAAATTTTAAACATTTTTAACTATTTTTAAACGGGCTGACCTACACTAATAATATATAGAGTTGATTTGATTCTTTTAATACTAGTTTCAGTTTTACATTTGTTTTAATGTTTTTTAAAATAAACTCTAATAATTTGCTGATATAACATATTAGATTTTAAAGATGAAGGTTGATTGTTTTGTGGTTTTTAGTTTTTGTTTTTTTTTTAATCATTTTTCTTCCAATCAAATTTAGCTTTTTGTTTTGGTTTTGTTTTGTTTTTGTAGAACCATTTTGTTTGCCAATCAAGTTTTTAAACAAATAGATTCCCTGAAATTTAGAGAAACTAGTTTTTCAAAAATTTAACCAATTTGTGAAGAAAAATCAAAAGCCAACTTTTGTAGGTTTTCAATACAAAAATGAATTTTATTTTATTTTAGACAATTTATATTTTCATTAAATAAATAAAATTTTCATAAAGGTAAAGTACCCATACAAAATTTTGTATATAATATATTATTTAAATTTTAATGTAAAATAATTTATTTATATTTTACATCTGTAAGTAAATTGGATGTTTTTATATAATATTAACTAGGGTAGACCCGCCCTACGGGCGGGATTTGATGGATCAATTTTAATAAAATCTATAATTTTTTGTAAATTTCATTTTATGTTAAATTGAGTGTGAATATGATTTTGTTGTCGACAACAAATTTCAACTATATAACTAAAATTATTGAATTCTTAGTATTTTGCTCTTGTAATCCTAAATTGTAAAGTTTTATAGTGTTTTCAGTTTTATAACACTATAAAATATATAAATCAATCAGATTTGGTCAAAAGAAGATGAGATCCATATTTCCAATACCATTGTATGCTTTTTTGTGAGGATTCTTTGTTAACGTTATTGTAGTTGTTTTATAGAATGTTAATAATTGATATCATCAACAATTGAGGTTGATTTCGATAATTTTTTTGTTAAATTATTATGTGTTTTATTTATTTAAAATAAGAAATTATATATAAATTAAATATTTATTTAAAATCAATTTTTATATATTAAAACAAATACTAAAATACATGAATATACATAATAATATTGATTAAAAAAATCATATATAAATTATTTAAAATTTTAAAGTTGTAAGTATATTTAAAAATAAAAACTATAAATTTTATCATCTGATAAATTATGACCAAGTCACGTGTCGCATCTGGTAAGCCTATTTATTGACGTGGCAGTCTCAGTATTGAGAAGAAAATTTCTTTATAATTGGCACAAAAATTGTTTTTTTAAAATTCACTTTTGAACATTTTTATTGCCTTGTTAGTAAATTTTCAGAATCAAAATTGGCACAAAAAATGTTTTTTAAAATTTACTTTTGAACATTTTTATTGTCTTGAGATTGATAAAAAAAATTGGAAATCAATATCTTAAATAGTTATTGTGTTTTCCGTTAGAAGGGGATTAAAAAAACCATCTATTGTTCTTAGTCTCTGTGATCTTTATGACCCTTCTACCCAGATGATCCTACCTATCAAAAAAAAGGTTTTGTGAAAAAATAACAAAGTAGTAAAAGTAATCTATAAATGAACAAATAACAGACACATTTCCTTATTTTTGTGCTTTTCTTCCCCTTGATTCTTTAAAATTAGAGGACACATGTGTTTTTATCTTTCTTGTTTTTTTTTTTGTTACGATCATGTGTTTTTATCCTTATATATATATATATATAAATCATTTGCTCTTCGCAATCATAATGATTGTATATTTGCTTTTATGTTCTGCAAACACTTAATATTAAGCTAAATTTTCTCCATCACAAATCCAGGTATTCGTTCATCATATTAGGGTGATACTTAGAGAACTATATATATATGACTCCTAGGCGTCCTCTTTTGTGATTCTCTGCACCTCCAACCGAAACCAAAGTGATGAAAGGTTAAGCAGAGGGCTCTATTAGCTAAACCATAAAGACAAAGCACAATTCTCACATAAGTGCTTGCTTGCATTTGGTGATAATTGGATCCATGATAAGCAAAGCAGACAAAGGCCAAATGTATCTTTGACTTTGTTGATGTTGCTTAACACCCAGAGTTTTATTTCTCTTTCTGACTTTCTATGTTCCTCCCCCCCCCACACTTTCTCTATCTTAATCCCAGTTTGTTATTCCCACGGTCATGAGGGACATCTATCTCCATATCCACACTATCTAGTATCTTTGTAATGTTTGCAAACATCTGTCTAGCACAAAGGTAGATGTCGGATCTGACTGATACAATGCTTTGTTAACGGCCAAACGTTATATTTTTTAATTGTATGGCAAGAGATCTTAAACGTACCCTTTAAGTAGAAATAAACAGTGCTTCTGATCGTTAATGGAGGGAGAAAAAAAGGCCAATAAAGAGAAACAACAGTGAATAATATTTTATATTTCCGTTGGTTTTAACATTTTGTCAATCATTTATGTCTAATTGACATGAGAACGACAGAAAGTTAACGGCACAGTGATGAAACTAACAAACTCTTTTACATAAACAAACCATAAAATCTGATGCGATGTCCAATAAAATGTATGAGAGATATAATTATAGAATGGACTTGCTTGCTTATCTCTTCTTCTTGCCACCGTTATCTAAATATGAAGAGTTGCAGCAGTGGAATTTGTGGCATGAGGTTCTTGATACTGTACTTTCTGAGATTCTGACTTCTTCGCCCTTTATGGATATCTTGGCACCAACTCTGCAATTTTCTGCATCAGTTGCCTCTCAAAACATATATCAAGACAATGAACATATCATGTGTCTTTAAGGAACACCTCGAAGCATGTAAAGTTGGAAATCCAAGCTGATATGTAATGTTCAGTCTTTCATGGACATGAGAATAGGATTTGGATATCAAATATTTCACTCCTCCATGGGAATAAGAATAAGATGATTTAAGGCAAGCAAAAGATTTGAAGAACAATAACTTTGGAATGGTTTTATACTCTCATTTATCACCAATATTGTATTTGTTAAGATGAACATCTTAAATATCTGATCACCTTGAAAGATGAGATGAAGAACATCAAATAAGAGAGTTACCTGGAAGATGATCACTTTGCTAGGCCTAGCAGCTCACCATGATTACAGAATCGGAAACGGTCCTCATAAATTGGACTAACAGGTTGGTATCTTAGCAAAAGCTGTTGAATCAGTGAATCGACAGCTTGAATTTCAAACTGATCCGGGTATCATCAGATCCGCTTACGTAGTATATTGAACTACCCTTGAAAATATGCTTGAAGGTGTTCAGATGGTGGAGGTTCATGGTGGCTTGAATGAGGGTTGCCTTAAATGATGAAATGGAAACATAATCAACAAAACAAATATATATATCGAAATAAAAAAAAGTTTGATAATCAATACATGAACATCTGGAACTCCCATAAACTAAATCTTTCGAGAAAAAAGTTTGATAATCAATAGATGAATAAAGAGAAACGAAATCAATAAACAAAATAATAAGCATCTCTCAAATATGTGAAGTTAAATATTTTGTAAAATAATAGTCGGTGATGAAGAGATTAAATTACTTGATGATATAGTATTTTGGAAGCTTAAGTTTGAGAGGACTTAAGATTGAGAAGATTAGAATGATGAATTTCACGGGATAGAACTTACCTTTTTATAGTTGAAGATTCAGAGAAAAGACGTAAAAGAGATGCATTCAAAGATAGATCGTGTGAGGAGTGGTGATGAATGGTTAATGAGAGCTTTGAATACGACGATTACACTCTACCAAACTCGTAACGTTATCATCTTTTCTCAACCTGAAGATTAACAATAGAAGGAATGGGATCACGGGTCGATAATTATAAAGCTGAGGCCCAAAAGTATCAAACCGTTTGGTTTATTTTCGGTGGACAGATGTCAAATTAAAGGAAGTCTATTTTGTGACATCACTTGATGATGTGGGTGAAGGAGAAGAGAGTGAAGGTTTTCTTTATATATAAAGATTTATTTTTTGTGCACGTTTTTTTTGTGCACATTATATAATATTAATTACTTGTAAACAGTTAGGTATTAATTTCATATGACGCTTGTTCACGCAACCCGCCTCTCTCTGGATCAGTTGGGTGAAGCATTACCTCCTAAAGCATAATTTTTATTTTTTTGAGATGTAAGGGATGATTCTAAAAGTTTTTGGATATGGAGAAACTTTTGAAACTTGAGGGATGTAGCTTATAACTATTTCAGGGTGGACATAAGAGATGGCCGGAGCTGTCACTTCTGGTTTGATGACTGGCTTGGAAAAGGTCGTTTGATCAACATCACCGAAGCTGCAGGTACCATCTATCTTGGGGTTCAGAGGAACGCCAAGGTTAGTGATGTAGTAACTTTGGATGGGTGAAATATATGGGGTCGGAGAAGCAGGCGCTAATTTCACTAGTTACATATTAGCATGCTGGCAGTAAATGAACCTCAGCCAGAGAATGGAAGAGATGCAATGATATGGAGACATGGAACATGTGATTACTGTTAGACCCAATTTGGGATAATAAAGTAACAGGTCCAAGCCCAAACATCAACACGCGAGATCGAGCCCACGACAAAGCAAGACGATGCCGAAGTCGTCGAACCAGAGATCGCAGGAACGGTTGAGAGATATCATCAAGAAATCCACTATAAATAAAGGAGTAGAGCTATAAGCAAAGGACACGCGAAAACCCTAGATCCTTCCCACTATCAACATCGACCTCACTTTTCTCAATTTAAACCTCTACATTTCAATCTTGTTGTTCTTTCATTTCGATCTTTAGTTACTTTGTTGTATCCAATCCATTATCAATAAAGTCTATTTTTGTCAACTGATTATATCGTTGTGTTTTAAGGACATCGTTGTCCATTGTTTTCGTCTTCCCTAAATTAAACATGTAATCACTATCAAATACTTAGTGTAGATTTTAGGATCTACAATTACCGTGAATTATTTTCAGCTCCAAAGACGTGGGATCAATTGAGATCAAAGCGTAACCAAGTGGAATGGCATAGAGTGGTCTGTTTCCTCACGGATTTTTATGTGGATAAATATTTAGGATATTTCTAAATATTTATCATTTGTTTTATTAGTTATTTAGATAATTATCTTTATTGTTGTAGGGTTTTATGGTTTTCATATATATAGGTTTCTTATGCCTTGATTTGTATTCAATTGATTGATTATTAATACAAGATTTTTTTCTAAACAAGTTTCTATAAACTACTGAGAAGAGTATTCTCAAACCCTAAAGAGATTTTAATTAAGCACTCTGAAAAGTATTCACAAACCCTAGTTTTCAGATATATTTAAAATCAACAGATCTAATTCTATCCCTAGAAGCTTCCGCTGCATCAGAGTTCCACGTTACACTTTTATCACTTGGCTAGCTATTCTGAATAGATTATCTACGGGAGATCAAGTGAGGCAATGAGGATGATACAAGGATGTGAACTGTATGGAGAAAGAAATGAAACGAGAGGCCATTTATTTTTGCTTGGCCTTATTCCTACATGATATGGGAAGCTTCAGAACGTAAGCTTGTGGTCACTAGCATCAATCCAGATTGGCAGTGGACAGTGCAGAAGTTAGAGAGAATGGGCACCAAAGGAGTTGATTCTTGCATATAGCTCGACTCCTATTTCAATGCTTATATATCATTTGGTGAAAGAGAAAGGTTAGGCTTAATCAGGCTAGAAACTCAATTTATCAAATGCAAAGACTCATCGACAAGGCTATGAGGAATATAATTTATTCACTCAAATATAGGATAGAGCATTAGCTAGGAGGAATGCTTAGGAGGTGGTTTGAAATCACTCTTTGATCTCAACTCTTTTTACCAGCACATCATAGAGTTACATCATATAGATTGATACTTCAAAGTTTTTTTTTTGTGGAAATAACATTCTTTTGATTAGATCAATAAATTTGAAATTTCATCAAAAAAGGTTTTTAAATTTTATAGGAAAAATCATTGAAAAATTGTAATAACTTTTAGACACACTAAAAAATAAATAAAAATATTAAAAATAAATATTTATTAATACAATATATTATATTAATTGGAAAAATATCCATTCAAGTTCTAAAAATAAAAAAATAATTATATAACAAAATTTATAAATATTTTCAAAATTTTATAATATTTATAATATTTTATTATATATATATATTTTATAATGTAAATAATACGTAAAATAAATTAATTTAAAAACATGTTAGTATATACTTTTATTTTAAATAACAATCACTCTGTTTTAAATATTTTAATGGTAATTTTTAAATATTTTATTGATTTTTTGTTTCATTATTTTAAAATAATGTATTGATTATTTTTTTCAAAGCTAAAAATACAGAAAAATCAAAAATCAAATCTAAAAACTTAAACCAAAACCAAAAGCTGAAACTAAAAACTAATGCAAACAATCATTACCATGATCATTTGATTTCAGAATATTAGCAACTTTGCAGATTAACTATCCAACTTCTAAATATAAAATTAGTCTTACAGTTTTTGTTGTCTTTTAAAATTAGTTTCATATCCATTTTTGTTAATATAGATTTTATGGTTAAATTTACTATAAACCCCCTTTAGTTTACGCATAGTAGTCGGCAAACTCTAGTATTAATTTTAATTTTTTTTTCTAATTGAAAAAGGTTAAACTTAGGTCTATTAAAGATACAGACTAACCAACTTTTTCCTAAATATTCAAATAGACCAAAAACAATAACCCGTATCTGTTTGGTTAGTGGAGTTTAAACTCAAATTCGTTTTCTTGGGTTTATTATCTCAAGTGCTACAGGCTACCGCCATTGATTGTATTGACTTTAATATTCAACTTATTACTAACTGATAATTTTTTAGTGCGAGACTGCGAGTCATTTTAAATAAACAGAAAATCACATGAGCCATACCTGATGAGGCGTTTGTCTTTCAGTACAATGATAACTCTAACCAACTTTTCCATTCCTATGATAAAATGTTTTAAAACACAATCTTATTATATATTTATTTAGTAACCCAAGAAGTTAACCTTAAAATGCTGTATCGAATCATATGCATTTTAATATAAGAATAAAAAATCATTTTAAGGAGGAGGAAATCATGGGCTATTCTTGATTTCGACGTTCTTTGATATCTACCAAAGTCCATATGCTTATTTAACTATCAATTTGCTTTTAAATCATAAAAGTTTTTTATAAATGAAATTTGCTTTTCCCTCGACAATGAAGGAATCGTCCAAAAAAGTTGAAGCTGATGAAAGCAGTTTGACTCCTCCCCATCTCCCAACTTGGCACATACCACATGGTCTTTCTCTTTTTTATCTCTCTCCCCTCTCTTTCTCTCTCTCAGCTTCTTCTCTCTTAATGCTCATTGTTTTGTCAAGCAAAAAATGGAAGTTTTACTCTAATAACGACGAGATCCTTCCCTAATACTGTAATCAGCAGGTAACCCATCTTTTGCTTAGATTAATTATTTTGTTCTTATAGCTTAAAGTAGGGATTTGTTATTTACTTAGCTTAAAAAAATATTAAAACAAAAAAGTTGTGAATAATATTGGAGAAAACTTCTTTACCATAAATGGTGAGACATCAACTTTATCTGCGTCTTCATATATTTTTTTTCTACTTATAGCATCACAAAAGAGAGGGATGTCGAGTAAAAAACATTTACCATTGGTTTTGCATCTATTGATGAATATATAACCCTCAAACCCCACTTTCTCTACTAGGTTAAATAAGAAACATTACTCTTTTCCATTAGCCCTATAGATCTTTTTCCCCAAAAATCTTGTTGAGGTTGCAAGTAGTAGAGAAATGTTATGAATTAATTTCAAAAGGGTGATTTTGACAGATTTTGAGTAGTTAATCCGCATCTGCAAAAGACTTTTGATAATGAAATGGTAAAGGAGGGTCCTACATCTTCAAGGATTGTGCCCCCACAAACTCAATGAATGTGAATTATTGGTGAGCAAAAAGTTTTTGTGATGAGGGTATCTTTTGTTGTTGTTGTTGTCGGTATATAGATGTGGATGAGCTTGAGATAGAAACTTTTACGCACCCAAAAATACAAAAAATAATAATTCGGCTTCCTCTGTTGTCACCTTACATAGAGATCCATAAGTGTGTGTGTTTAAGGTATGTTAGTGTTTATGTTATCTGTTGATTTTGTTCTTTCCATCTTTGCAAGTAACAGATAAGATAAATGAAGAATTTTGCTTAGGCAAAGAGTAGTTTGTTGCAGGTAGGAAGTTTTATGTGAGTTTTATTACTCTTTGACTTTACAAGTTGATTTGCTGTTAGAAGACTATGGTTATGTAGTGCAAGAGAGAGAGATATAGAGAATGGAAAGCTTTTTAGAGATTTGTGTTTTGTGTTTCTCTTATACTTATTGATCAGACTACAAATCTCTCCTCTAAGGATGAAGGATATAGAGAATTGAGCAAATCAGATAACTTAAGTTAAAAACATTCGAGACTTTTGTAACAAATAACGTTAGAAACTTTATATAAGACACCTCACAATTCGCTTTTTATCATTGTTTTGTTTGTAACAGAGATAAATAAGTAGACAAGTATTATGCTATTTTATATATAATTAGCTTTGATAAAAAGAAAATATATATATAATTAGCTTTGACAAGCCATACTAATTGTGATTCTTTCAGATTTTGGTGGCCAGTGTCTGAATGGAGTGTGAATGGGAAAACTTAATATCTTTTGGTACTTCATCAGCTGAAATTCAAAGAAAGCTACGACCAATGGATTGGGAAACTGATGAGTTTGATTGTAGCTTTGCTACAACTGCGTATGGTGGTTCTGGTCTAGCTCATGCTTTCTCTAAAAGCTCAAAGTCAACTTCATCAGCTGAAGTGAAAACACTCAACTTCACATCAGAAGAGTTGGGGAGCAGTGAAGAGTTTACTAAAGGAATCAACACATCTCCGAGTCTTCAACTTTCCTTTGGCTCTGGTGATCCACTTCTTGGTTTAAAGCTTGGTAAGAGAACATACTTTGAAGACTTTTGGGAAGTGGAGAATGCCGCCAGAGGCTCGGCACTTCCGGTGAGACTTGGGTCATCATCTTCTGCTTCTCCGGTGAAGAGAATTAAATCTGTTTCTCAGAAGTTACAAACTCCTCGTTGCCAAGTTGAAGGATGTAACCTCGATCTCTCGTCAGCTAAAGACTATCATCGGAAACACAGGATCTGTGAAAACCATTCAAAGTTCCCTAAAGTCGTTGTGAGTGGTGTAGAACGTCGGTTCTGCCAACAATGCAGCAGGTAAAAGTGGTTTTTGATCAGTTAGGTAAAGCACTAAAGACAACATATGACTTTTTATGTTTTTTGGTCTCCAAAGGTTTCATTGTCTGTCTGAGTTTGATGAGAAGAAACGTAGCTGTCGTAGGCGTCTCTCAGATCACAATGCAAGACGTCGCAAGCCAAATCCTGGGAGGACATATGGTATATACTAGGCCTAGTATATACAACATTTTTTTATATATATATAAACAATTGTTTCTCTTTAATTCTGAGATGAAATCTGAATTTGGTAAGCATTTAATAGTTTGGAGTTCACAAAAAATTTGTGCATGCAGATGGGAAACAACAGATGGATTTTGTATGGAACAGATTTGCTCTTATCCATCCAAAAAGTGAGGAAAATTTTCTATGGCCAAATCCAAAACCTATACCATCTAGTGGGTTGATACAGCAACCTGCAAAGACTAGAGCTGAGTTGTTCAGTAAAGGTTTGTTTATTTCTACGTCTTGGTTTATGTACTAATGTTTGGTTGAAGTATATTTGTTCATGATTTTGATGTTTTGTGTTGGATATTTTAGAAAAGGTTACAATCTCTTCAAGCATGGGTGCTTCTCAAGATCTTGATGGTGCTCTCTCTCTTCTGTCAAATTCAACATCATGGGTTCCCTCGGACCAGCCACCACGGTTTTCCCTTGCTCACCAACCCACAGCCAACCTCCAAATCATGGCTCACCGGTCTGTGACTCAACTCAGTACGGTGTCCGACTATTGGCAGCCGGACCCACCAGCTGTTGAAGGCCCAACCGGTCTACATAGAAACGGGGTAGGCCAGTTTAATGAGAACTGCTTCAGCTTGAACCAGTTTTATAACTGAATATGTATTGCCTGGAAATCCTAATAAGAGTTTGTCGAAGGATCATACACGCATGCATAGTGTTAACGTTAATATAGGAGATGTGAAACTTGCTAAGACGCCAAATCCTCTCTTCTTTCTTTTGTCCATTGATTTTTTTGGGGGTTGAGAAAGCTGTGACAATTAGTCTTATAAATCTTGTCATATTGGTATACATTAGAATTTTCATATTTGGTACTGGTGTAGCAAACTACAAAATTGATCAAACGCATGATGATGTATATGATCTTTGGAAGTAACGTAAAAGAGATCATATATTTGATCTATAGATATAAACTTACGTTATTCAGTTTCACAGGTGGACAAACCCATTATGAAGTGCTTAAAACGTTATTGAATCAAACTGAAATATGTTTCTCCAACCATAGCAGAAAATAGTGATCCTTATATAGTCACATACACATGTGAGGGAGGATATAGTATCATCTCCCCGCATTGATCTTGACTCCAAGCATTGGCTTATAGTCGCCTTCTCTGGGTGTCACAAAGCCTGTGGAGTATGACGCAGAAGCGCCGGTGTCTATAGTTTGAAAGGCGCTGAAAGAGGAGCTTGAGGTGTCATCAAATCTCCAGTCGGTTAGGTAACCTAGCTTGGAGGTTACCTCACTGACCTCAACATCTCCTGAAAGCATAGCCACCACTCTTGACATCGATGGTCTCAAGGAATGAGATGAATATGTGCACAGCAGAGCAATGCCTATCATGCGTTTCACTTCTTCCATATTGAATTCAGTCAGCTTATGATCAACTAGTTCAACTTCACGGTTATTCTCGTGTAGATTCCATGCCTGTATACACCCCGATTGCTATAGATAACATCTTTTGGATGATAATATTTCCAATTAAGTTTTAACTAACAAGCAAGGACGTACCCATTCAAGAAGATATTTTTCCTCATTCCCCAGGTTGACATCAGAGTTTTTCCTTCCACTCACCAACTCAAGAGCCACAATACCAAAGGCATACACATCTGTTTTCTCTGTTAGGTGCCCACGCATGGCATACTCTGGTGCAAGATATCCACTTGCATTCGTACAAATGACATGTGGGCTATAAATTATACCATAGTGTATATAATAGTGTTGCAAGAAAGAAAAAGTTGAGTGTTTGGGAATGCTTACATGGTCCCTGCCACTCGGGTACTTATGTGGGTTTTCTTATCATCGTATAGCTTTGCAAGCCCAAAATCAGAAACTTTTGGGAGAAAATTAGAGTCAAGCAAAATGTTGCCGGCCTTCACATCCCTGTGTACTATGCGAAAACTCGCCTCTTCGTGGAGGTAGGCTAGACCTCTGGCTACTCCCATGCATATCTCAAGACGGGTAGACCAATCAAGATGTAAACTTTTATCACCTCCTGCAACATCCAAATAATGAGTAATTTAGCCTTGTAACTGTTAGATAACAAACAAAGTTTTATATTGGAAATCTAGACAAGAAATATCTAATATATAAAGAGAAATCTAACTCTAATTAATACAAAGCTTTTTGGGATGAAATCTAAAAATAAATTCATGCGGACCTTTCTATTATGTCTAAAGTAGATAATATCGTACTAATCTGACAATGTAGTTTATGTTTATGTTCATTACCAAATAGTGCGTGATCGAGACTTCCATTTGGGAGATACTCGTACACCAGCAAACGATGATGTCTTTCATAGCAGCAACCATAAAGTTTAACTAGGTTGCGATGCATAACGGCAGAAATTGCTATGATTTCTGCAACAAATTGCCCCTTCCCGTGTTGGGATCCAACGGACAACATTTTCACCGCGATTTCTCTTCCATCAGTCAGGGTTCCCTGTTGGATGTGTTAATTCATAACAAACCAAATATATATATTTGATCCATTCTCTGTTGGTTTGAGTCGTACCTTATAAACAGACCCAAACCCTCCCTCTCCGAGCTTGTTTGCGGGATCAAAATCTTGAGTGGCACTTTTAAGCTCTGAGTAGGTAAAAGTGTAAGGCTTCACATCCATATTAAGAAGTTCTGCAACAACAAATTATAAACCATTTTGAAAGATGATATTCAAGCTCAAAGGATAACTTGTGTTGTTATTATTACCTTCATCATCTGTGTAACGCTTACTGGTTTTTCGGATGATAAAGAAAACCGCACCAGCAAAGAGGCTTAAAAGTCCTAGGCCAACAATAACACCCGCAACAGTACCGGTCCTATTCTTTTGCTTTGATGATGGCTTGTTGTCCAAAGTTGGTGTAAAATCTGAACAACAACAATATGTAAACTTAGTCACCAGGGAGGAGATAGAAAAAAAAAACTTGCCAGTATATCCTAGGCCAACAATAACACCCGCAACCGTACCGGTCCTATTCTTTTGCTTTGATGGTGGCTTGTTGTCCACAGTTGGTGTAAAATCTAAACAATGAAAATATGTAACACTTAAGGAACAAGAGAGGAGATAGGAAAAAAAAAATGTCAGCAGTTGTTGTGATACCTGGTTTTGCACTGACGGCCGATATAAGTGGTCCATAATTACCTATAAAAGGAACAGTAATTGATCCTTTGCCAGCCCAGAAAAGATGAATTTCAAGATAATTTTCTGATACATTTGTTTTATATTCTCTATAAACTGCTCGGAGAGTAGTGTCACCAGATGTTCTGCGTATATCAAAATCCTTTTCAACAAGTATTCCCTAGGAAAACAGAGCTAGGTCTTAGAATTCAGCAAGAAGATTATTACATCAACAGGTTAATTTGTAAAGCGGTAGAGCAGACCTGGACATAAATGTCAAAACGTCTTATTCCTAAACCTTTCCAAGAGTGAAGGCCAATGTTGACTACTTCAGCAAACTGAAGTGTTACGGTGTAGCCTCCATTTTCGAGCCCCAGCCCATAATACCTAAGGGAAGATGAAGAGTGTCTTGCTGACTGAAAAAGCTCCGAGTCCAGAGTGTTGTTAATCCGTACAATATTGTCATTCCCGTTATAAATTCCTACGCTACTGACTGCCCATCTCTCAACATCACTCACGTAAGATGAAGTTGATCCATGATCCACGTCGTCCCTCTCAACTACTACTCCGGTGAAGGACCGTATTTGTGGTCCTCCGCAGTTGATAAAAAAGTCAGAATCTAGACACCAGACAATAGAGAAACCCTTAAGCAAAACCTTTTTCCAACAAAAAAATAGAAGCATAGTTGAGAACGGAGGTTATCATGATATCTCTTTGTCACACTTACAGATTCCTTTGCCTCGGTTGCATGGAAAGTTCTTCTGCAGACACTTCAGTCTTGATAAAACCCTTTACATTGAAAGCAGAACTAAAATGTAAAAACTGAAATTTGAATTTAAGATCAACATGAACATTTTGAATAAAGTCACCTCTTGTCAAGACCATTCAAGGTGAAGTTGTTAGAAACAAGATTGCTGCACAAATGATATGTGAAAATATGATTAAAATTAGAACCAATACGTTATTAAACATTTTGTTGAACTTCTCGCAGTGGACTCTCTCACGGCAAGCTCTTCTTTTTGTGTTTCTCTTTGTTCTTCACTCTCTGTTTTCTCTCTTTCTTGTGTTTCATGTTGATAGTGTTGTTAGGGGTTTAAGAAGGAACAAAATGTGGAACATATGTAGCATCTCAAACCCCAGTCTATTATTTGCTATAGAACACTGGTGGACTTATCTTTTTGTGGATGAGTCGGTCGGGTTTATGGGTAAGTCCGGTCGGGTTTATGGGTAAGTCCGGTCGGGTCGAACTCAAGAGGGGAATAAGCCGTCAACCCTATAATTTTTAGTCCTCATAATCTTATGCTAACTACAATATATAATATAACAATAAAGAAAAATATTATACAAAACAGTATTCCAATAAATATTTAATACAAATAGAAAGTGAGAACACAGAATCAAAGTATATGAACAAAATATTACATCAACTAACGAAATACAAGATTTCAACATTTTGACTTATATTCTACAAAAAAAAACAAAGAAGCTTATTTATCATTTGGAAATGCATGTAATATTATATTGCAATGAAATATCTTATTATAATATTTTACCGTATGTTGTATCGTTTATGAAAGTTTTATGGTTTTTATTATTTTTTATGAATAAAAAGGACTATAGTGTAAATGTAAAATTTTAAATCTAAAATTGAAGTTGTTTTTCTTTTGCAGATAAACACCCCTATATATACTTCAACTAGGTATTTTGCCCACATTTGCGGACCTAAACATTTTATAATTATTTTATTAATACATATTTTACTAATTGAAAGGTTATAATGATAAAGTATTAATTTTGTTTTATTTTTTGAAACCAATAATATTTATACTTTCATTTAACAATTCTTACATATATGTCTTTGTAATTTATGTTCACTATTTAAAATACTTTTAAAATCAATTTTTTCAATTATATAAAATTAAAAAGTTGACTTGATTAATATATTTACTTATGTGTTTTCTATTGTTTTTTTGTTAAATTTTTTTATCAAAATATATATTTTTTAGATAACATCACAATATATATTGGAATTATCTTATTTAAGAAAATATTATTTAGATTTTGGATAATTCTAATGATTATTATTAATTTTATTTACTTATCCAATCAAAATTATTTAAATTCATTTTTATTTTGTATGTAATTTATATATTATTTTCATTAAGGGCATAAACGATATTAACCACTCCAACTTTTAACGTGGGAAAATCACTTCGCAAATAATAGTATAGATTTGAAGATTCGTGAATTTAAAAAAAAAAAAAATATATATATATATATATATAGAATTGCTAGTGGAGATTAATTATCCTAGTGTGTTAGGACATCTTCAACTTATAACACTTTTTTAATGTCAAAATCATAATATTTTAATGACTTCAACACTCTTTTAAAAAAAATTCTAACCTATCTCCAAAACAATTTCACACATAATCTTTCCAATCCAATACAAAAGTTACACTATTTTAGGGCAGCATAATAATTACACACCAAATTACTTAAATAGTGGTTTGGAATTGGTTGGGGATGACAGTTAGAATAGTTAAGAGTTGTTAGTGGTTGAAGCTACTTGTAAGCCATCTATCTAGAAGTGTCTGAGTAGGAGTAGCTAAAGCTATAATTTTGAGTGCGTGAGTGGAGTTAATAAGTAGAAAAATATATTATAAGTTTGTGTGTGTAGTGTTGTGTAAACTATCCAAGTGATCCAAGCTATCAATGTAAATATTGAAAGAAAATGTGTTCCATTTTTTTTCTCTTGACAAATTAATGAACTAAAACAGAAAGAGTGAGAGAGTTTATTGTTCGTTAATTTATTCAAAAAGAAAAGGAAGCTGAAATCTTTGAGATTAAATATAAAAAGAGAAATAGTGTTTTGATTACTTACAGGTCCAAGTCTGGTAAGCTAACCCATGAAGGAAGACTACCAGACAAATCATTGTAGGAAACATCTCTGAAAGAATAAAAGAAGAATGAGTTGGTAAACGGGAAAATTGTCATTTAAATCACCAACTTTCAAATTTGGTTGAAATAAAACACCAATTTTCTCATAAGCCAAAAAAACACTCAACTTTTATTGACAAGCCATTTTAGTCACAAACTTTCGTCGACCATACCAATTTAGGCATATCGTTAGTCAACAGTTATAGTTGACTAACGGTAGGCCTAAAATGGCTTTTAAAGTTGGTGTTTTTTTTGGCACAAATATAAATCAACAATTTTTCTATATTTTAGCTTTTAAATATAGAAACTTTTAATAACTATAACACTAATAAATAAAATTGTAAATAAAAAATAAATTCCATTCAAAAATATAAAAATAACTCAATGTAAAATTATTAATTAACATATCCTTAATTGGGTATTTTAGTTTAAAAAAATGATTATGATTTTTAAATTATTTATGATTAATTTTTAAAAACTATTTGTATCATCCTACACGGATTATGTTTTATAATTTTACTGTCAAAAATTTGTTAGTAAAATATTATTTCAATTCTTGATTTTTTAAACAAAATGAGTTACCGGATAACAAAAAAAGTTATCTATTTTGGTGAAACTTATTTTTTTTTAGATGCAGAAAACCTCTTGTAAAATTTTTATAGAAAATATATAGATTTGTTTGAAGATCTTTTTATAAACTTAAAGAATCATGAATAATTTGTTAATCGACAATTTTTTCATTTAAGAAACACGAGTTGAATTAATATTTTATCAACAAACTTTTGAGAAAAAAAATTATAAAACATAATTCAAATAGGATTATATAAATATTTACAAAAATTAATTGTAAATAATTAAAATATTCTTATCATTTTATAACTAAGATACTTAATTAATGTATGTTAACTAATTATTTTACATTGAGTTTTATTTATATTTTTTTCTAGAATTTTTATTTATAGTTTTATTTGTTAGTGCTTCTGTTATAAAAATATTTTCAATATTAAAAATATATCCAATATTGTAAAAAAATATTGATTTATATTTGTGCCAAAAAAAACATCAACTTCGAAAGCCATTTTAGGCCTACCGTTAGTCAACTATAACTGTTGACTAACGATATGCCTAAATTGGTATGGTCGACGAAAGTTTGTGATTAAAATGGCTTGTTAATAAAAGTTGAGTATTTTTTTGGCTTATGAGAAAGTTGGTGCTTTATTTTAACCAAATTTGAAAGTTTGTGATTTAAATGACAATTTTCCCGTTGGTAAACCTTTGGCTATCAAAAGATGATCAATTATAAAGGATTTGTAACCCACATATTCCTCAAAGTATTGCTCTTTTGAGTGGGCAAAGAACCATTCAACGTGTTGTTTCCCACCAACCTATTATGAAGACAACAAAGATTTGAACAGTTATATCACTGGTAGTAACGAACACAAAGCCCCAAAAGAATTAGACACTTACAAGTAAGCAAGGTTAGCTAGGTTGAAAAGTGAAGCTGGAATTGGTCCATGTAGTCTGTTGAAGCTTAAATCACTGGAAAACAGACTAAGATTAAGTTCAATGAGGTGAAAATTGAGAAATAATATTATAGCAGTGTAGATCAATTTGGTGACCTAACATCTTTACCCCAAAAAAATCAATTTGGTATTCTCAAGGTGACTTTCACAAATCATCTCACTGGTCTAGCAAAAGAGACTCCGAAGCACACGGGATGTATTTTCTACTTACAGTTCTTGCAGATTTGAGTATTCCCCGAAATTAGAGGGTATTGTCCCAGTGAGTTTGTTGTTCCTCAGTTGTCTAGGAAACATATCATCGATGTTAAATACACGTAACGAGATGGACTAGAGTAAAACAGTTGCCTTACAATATACTTAGAGCTTTCATGTCTTTGATGAATTCGAGAGAAGAGCCTCCATTGAATATATCGCCTAGCACTCTACATTTAGAATAAGATTATGTGGAGATAGGGAAAGAAAGAGATATAGTAAACAAGAATGATTTCTGACACAAAGGCAACACGTACAGTTCTAACAAAGAAGTTAAGTTAGAAAATGACGACGGTATCGGACCACTCCAACCAGTTCCTTGAATTTTTCTGCAGCAAAATATGGTAGCAATCTCTTAATCCCAAAATTTTATTGCCATGAAGAAGTTTCCACGAAGATTAAAAATTATGAAAGATATAAAAACAAGAGCAATGTAACAAATACATATATAATATAAGATATATCTCTGTAGAACTGAATTCACTCTTACAAGATTTGAAGTTTGGTCCACTTTCCTATATATTCTGGTATCTGACCAGTAACGTCCAGATCGCATATTGATCTGGTACAAACATTAAGGAAAAACCCAGCCACGGTAAAACGAAACAGATAATGTAAAATAATATAAATAGATTACAAACATGTAAAAATTTAGGGATAAATTTAGTTATATGGGAATTCAATGAAATCAAATTCTTACACGCTTTCTAGTTCTACAAGATTAGCAAAGGATGAAGGTACTTCCCCTCTAAGTCCTGAACTTTTTTTTTTTTTTTTTTTTTTTTTTTAAATAAACATATATTTCATTAAAATCCCAAATGGGCATCATTGCAATTACATACAACTAGAAATTGAGCAAAAAATCGGTACAACTATAGGAATAGCAGCTTTGACTCATCGGCCACACAGCCAAGTTGTGGGCGCAACTCCGGAGCCTTCCATCATCACTACCGCACCAAGTTAATCCGGGAGGGAGCAGGAGCATCCCACTCTCTTCCTAGCTGAAGCAAGTGCAGTCTCTTAAGAACATACAATACATATATATCATACCTCCACGGATGGCTGAGAGCAACAAACCAATGATGGTCATAAGCAATAGCCGGAGATACGCACAACCATACACACCAAAGGCGGGTTGAGATGGAGACAATCCTAGACCAAACATATCAGTACCTGCAAAAAAGAGAGAGACGGTCTACCAAGACGACCAAGTAGTCCTCCATGGCACTGGGATGACCCTCTCTGCAGCAAGTCTCCACGTCGCAAGCTTCACCAACTGACCCAATCGAATCTACCATACGACGTCTTGCTTCGACCAAGAGAACCTGAGCCGACCTTCCTTGCGCCCCGGGATTGAAAACTCGCTGGAGTAACGAGAGCAAATCCAACGAAGCGATACTGATGACGCTCTATACCACTAGCAAGATGGCAAGAACATGGATTTGGACCAAGAACATGAGAAGGACATACAAGCGGAGAGTAACCGCCAAGGGTGTAGTAGACCATGCCATAGACGACATTTCAGAACCATAACCTCCAAGCTACACACACAAACTCACCAAGTTCCGGCAGCCACACGACCACCAGGAGCTCAGTGCACGCGTCGACAATCGAACACTGCCGTCTCCACTAAGCAAAAGAGAGACCTTCCACTAAGACAAGACGCCGAGCCTCAGGAAGAAGGTGACCTTTATACTCCACTCCACAACAAAGAACAACTCTTTGCAAGCACACGGATACAGGAACAGGAGGAGAGAGTAAGTCGCAAACCTCACGCGCCTCAAGCTCTGAGAACGGCGAACAGATCTAAAAAGGGAAAAGTAGATCCGCCGAGATCTCACCCTAAAAACCGACTCTAGCCACCCACGAACCCTCACCGCCTCGCTGAATCTCCAGAAAAGAGACAACCAACCACAGATCTAAGACCTCCCGGAACAGTATTAGAGGACCGCGGGTGAGACTCCAACCACAAATCCAAGCATATCGACGGCAAGAAGGAGACAGATGGATAGAGCAAAGATAAAAGAGGAAAGGAAGAGGAGAAGGCTCCGACGGTGGCGCTTGCGCAACCGGCCGCCGGACCAAACGAAACTAGGGTTTTTCTTTTTGTTTTTTAAGAGAGACGAGAGGAGAGAGTTTTTTTTTATCGCACGTTTTTCACCGTGTCTAAGTTCCTTACTTTGTTATAAGTCCTGAACTTGATAAGTATCTGCAATAATTATTTTGAAAGGTAATTAAAAAAGTTTTCATATCTGAACTAAAAAACACTGCATATATGAGCACATAAATTAAAGTATATTGTACATTCTAACATTTTCAGTAGTTTCGTACAATTCCCAATCTCAGCTGGTATAGAACCGGAAAAGTTATTTATACTAACACCACTGCATGCAGAAAATATAAACAAGACAGGTTTAATATTAAGGATGTATCAAAATCTGACATTTATGATATTTATTTAATACGAAAAAGAAGCTTACAGCGATTTCAAATTTGTAAGCAAACCAATTTCCTTGGGAAGGGGACCCGATAAAGCATTGATCCCAAATGTTCTACGGAAGTGTTGAGAAACAGTTGGAGAGTAAGAGACAATAAAGACGGATTAAAAAAAGGAAGAAAAAGGTTTCATTCAATCGACAGCCTTACATCCATTCCATTCGAGTCAAATTTCCAATAGCAGGAGAAATGGAGCCTGTAAGATAATTTTGAGCTAGGTTCCTGAAAGAAACCGGCGTGTGATTTTGAGGTACAACGAATGCATTTACAGGCTCTTTTTGATGATGATAAGATAAAAAAAAAAAAAAAAAAAAAAAAAAAAAAAA